AAATAAAATACTTCATGAATTGATGACAGATTTTATTTGACGACCCCTTGATCTGTTTAAGACTTTCTCTGTGCCATATAATACTAATCGATGAGTGAGACTATGGTTTCACACTAGTAACACGCTTCCTAACCACCTCAATCAATGCAGCTTTACAAAATAATCGATTACCGTTACCTCCTTGTCCAACAATACTCCTGACTATAGAACTACTGATCATGTCACACCTATGATAGGAGCAGTAAGACGCAAACCACTATGGTTACAGACGCCGCAAGTATGCATATGTCACAGGACCTGTTGGAGGATGAAGAAATGAGAAATACACCCACATTCGGACTTAAAGTCTATTTGATTTTTACTGGTTTGCTTCTGCTGAGCATCCCTTAGTCTATACAGGACTACAAGACCTGGAATTTTAGATTCTATGCTCATCAGGCTGTCCCCTCTATGATTAACGGAGGAAGATTCGTCTTTTGTCTTATAAACTGGGGCTACAAATTATTTGCATCATACCGGTGGGTCTATTTCTCATTCTCACACATTAACAAAAATGGTTCACCTAGTCATTTATTCTATAATCTTTATCCTGAAACACTTCTAGAGTTATGGCATCAGATCCTGCTACTTTTTCTCGTGTTAGATTACGGACTGCTTTTTAAACCTCCGCCGCAGTCATAGGATCATCATCTAGATGCCCTTCAGGTGAGGTTTTGTGTTGGACGAACTTAGTGTGGTTGTAGGCCAGCTAATTTGCCTCCCAAAGTTTTCTCTGCAATATTCCGGCTGCCTACCTTGGAAGTAACTAAAGCACTGTCCTTTTCGGTAGCCGTTATATATCCTTTTTATCTAGTGAGTCTAAATACACATCTGGTATAACTCACTGCTATCTACCGCGATCCTTTTTGCTTCTGTTGTCCATTGGTGATTACCTTCTTTCGAGAAACTTCTAGTCAGCTCTCGCCTCTCGTCGTGTTTGGAGCCTACTGAAGTCAGTCTTCCTGAGTCTGCTGCTTCAGACTAAGCAAGAGAAATTCACTGGTATCTACTAACTTTTGGTTGCAGTCTAACAACAGTCCTTACCAATGTTTCTTTAACAGATTTTGTACGATAATCGTCCTCTGCAGGATCTGTGTTTAGTTTTTTCCTCCAAAAATAAGGAATTTGTGTTCCAATCAAGAAGAATGGGGTGTAGCGTCTCCGAAGCTGCCTTATTCTGCGTCCACTTAGTTGTAGGACTAGTGAGTGGCAAAAGTTTGGTCAGGTGTTCCAAAGGGGAAGGCAATCTTCCATCTATAACGACGTGATGTATTTGCATCCGTCGTTAATCTGATGTTAGAGATAGACGTTGAAGCGGTTTCTGTCTTTAGGTTTAAAGTTATTACTGAGTAGGAACTGGTAGTCATCTTAAAAGGATCACCGTTATCGGTGTGAGACTCCATAGTTATCACCAACATTTTCTTAGTACAGTTTCCTTACCTGTGAGCTGAAACAACCCATTAAAATGATCATATCTGAGCATTCAGCTTTCAAAAGCAAACTAAATGTTTTTCAACAAGATTCATCCTTCATTTCATTTATCTGCTGCTAGTTGGTGCAAAAGCAAGGTTATCGAAAGGTTACGACGGGAATCAGGACCTTTCCTTATTGTCTTGGATTGATTGAATCAGGTAGCACATTTATGGCTGTTCATTGAAATCCAGTCAATTAATGAGTTTTCTGTCCTAGATTTCTACACTGTTCCTACACCAGAAAGTCCCTCGACCTCTTCAAAATATCGTTTGACATCCCTAAGGTAAAGTTTTTAGATTTATTGTGTTGGTCAGGCAAAATTAAATGAATTCCCAACCTTGTAGGTATTTCTTTGAAACACAACATACACCCATAGACTTGTTAGGCTTGTTGTCTGATTCGTCATAACACTGGAAAATTAAGAGCCCAATATCAAGACCATAATGTAGTTCCAAGGGAATAGAAGTGTTTTCCAGTTCAAGTTGCTACTAACTGTTCCAGAGTTGAGCAAAAGATGAAACATATGCTCATGTAACAGCATTAGAAGTGGCAATAAAGCAATGTTGAAGAGTCACTTGAAAGTATTTAGGTGATGCATTTGACTGCATAAAGTAATGCCTTAATACCAACACGAACCTAATTACAGTGTTAAGTAGACAGTGAAGTTTTTTAATAACTAAAGCATTTTCTTGTCAAGTTTTAGTCATTTAACTGAAAATTAGTGGCAAAAGCCCAAACATTTACTCTACTCATATTTGAACCTTTGAGAATCTCGTTACCTTTGCTATCTTTCTACAAATAATGTTTTTGAAACTACAGCATATCATTTCATTTTTTGTTATTTAACTGGGTGTTTTCATGCGCCGACATTCCATTTTATTTAGCGATTTTATTAGCGATTATTCACTCACCTTATCCTCCCATTTTAAAACATTCGATCTAATAAATTCATATATTCACATTTCTCAATTCGGAATGTAACTGATCTTCTTACAGCATCAAAAAATAGCCTTATCATATATATATGTTGAACTTTGCGTTGGTCCGTCTTTATTCATTCATATTTCTAATTAACTTGTATTTCATAAGCATCTTAACTAATACTATAGACTTTAGTATCTCTACTTACTGTCGGATTTTAATATGCATGGAGGATTTCATCATGAGCTGACATCAGTTAGAGAACCACTGGAAAACCTGGAAGTACTGGACAGCTGTTTCGCCCTAGTTTGGGACTCTTCATCAGCGCGCACCCACCAAGGTTTGAACCCAGGACCTTCTGATGACAAGGCGAGCTCGTAGACCATTCAGCCACTGATGACCAGCTCGCCTTGTAACCATAAGGTTCTGGGTTCGAATCCCGGTGGGTGCGTACTGATGAAGAGTCCCAAACTAGGATGAAACAGCTGTCCAGTACTCCCTGGTTTTCCAGTGGTTCTCTAACTGATGTCAGCTCATGATTAAATCCTCCATGCAATCAAACAAAAATCCTTACAAAACTGATACTTGAAAATTTAATATGCATGACGAAAACACTTAGTAGTGTCTATTTTAATCTACGTATGCATAGGTATGATAGTGCAAGTGTGGAAATGAAGTCACGTCAAGGAGGATTTTCTTCGCTGATATCTTTGTTTCATATATAAATGAGGACTATGAATTTATTGTTCTTCATTACTTGTTTATTACAACGTACTGCTACTTCTATTTATTTCTTTTTTTTGGAGATGATGTGTGACAGTTTAGATTTGTGAAATATTTTGAATCATTTGACCTTGTTATATTTATTTACCTGTCCGGATGATAGGCAGTAATAATTATTCGATAATGAAGGGCGGTTTTGGAAAATAAAGCTTATCTGTGTAACTATAAGCAACCCCAACTGATACACTCTGTATGAAAACAAACTTTGTAATTCTGAATCGAAGTCAACCTAATAACACAATGATTATATCGCTTGTAGGTAATAAAATGAGAGCCTTGACATACTTGCTTCAGTGAAAATTAGACTCTGTATAGTTAAAAGGTTCTTAGGTTTGTTAAGCATGCTTACTGAATACACATTTTCTTTTACAGTCCTTCACTGTAGTAATTTCTGAGTGTAGAGCTTCATTTAAAAACAGGAAGCTGTATAATTTGCACCAAAATGTACTTATATGTCATAAATAAAATTTTTTTATTCCTTTGCCTTCCCAGTGGGACATAGGGCTTGAGACTTAAGGTTTGCAATTTCAAAAGCAGTGGTTTTTAGTTTTTATGGAATGGAGCCACTAGTCGCACACTCAGCCTTCTCTGTTTACCGGTCTTACTACCGGCTAACGAAGTTTAAGGAACGAGTCGGCCGGGAATCGAACCTCAGACCACATAAGGCATAACTGGAGAGTATTCTGCCAATAAACCACAGATTTACTATGAACAACAAGTTATTTCAAAAATGAATTCTCTTTTCTAATGATCACTTACTGTAATTAATTTCTGCATCAGTTTTAAATGATGTGTACATATGTACATTATAATAACGGTTTTTTGTATTTCCCATTGAATGAAAACAAAACGATATTGTTTTCACTGACGTTTCGCTATTTAATGCTAATAGCTTAATCAAAGTATTATTAAATCAGAATTTACAAAATCTCAGCTTATATATAACAACTTAATCGTCGTTCCTCAGTATGGGTTCATATTTCCGTTGTCAAATTGGCCAATTGGTAAAGATAACAAAACCAGGTGTAGATTGTTGGATTTGATAAGTGTATAAGATTATAAAAGCAGCTTGTGTTTACACAATGAAGTTGCTTATCACATTCGTGTTGTTTTTGTCACTTCATGGGGAAAGGAGGTGTTGTAACCAGGTCAAAGTCTGCTTTAGTCCATCATTCCTGTTCAGACAATTTGGCTTCCACTTGATATGAAGTGCTTCTGATATTTGACGTACTTTGTGATTTCTGAAATTTTTCTGGATGATGATTTCATTATTGTCAAAATCAATTTTTTGTCCTGATTCTATGGCGTATAGACCTATGGCTAATGATTTTTTAAAGCTTTTCGAGTTCACTAACTGGATTTCTCGGTGGTTGAACAGATGCTCTACGGTGTTTAAAAGGGAACTTGGTTTGGACATATGTACACATATGTTGTTTACAGAACTTTATCGAAATTCTTATAAAAGTAAGATGGTACAATATTAATCTGTCGCTGCCGTAGATTATTGGTTAAAGACTGAAGTGTTTATAGCATGAGGAACATTTGATAATTGTCTAAGAATGAATACTGTTTGATTAAATTGTTTAAAGCCACCAAATCAAACTTCAGAGGGTAGTCGAAATTTAACTTAAGTTCAAAACTGACTAAGTGACTTTGTATGTTTATTCTTTTTTTATTTAAAAACCTCATATTGATTTATTTATCATTTATAGTAAAATAGTTATTGAACGACCGGAGGTTAATAACTTTATGTTAATTACTCATCAACTACTCAAATAAATCCAATGACTGATTATGAAGACAAGTACCGATATTCTTCTCCATTAAATTTTCAAAGTAAGTTAAAGTATGTGAATACGCATTAAAGATGTAAAGGCATAGAAGTTGCTCAGGATTACAGTTTATCAAACAAAAATATTCAGAATAAAACAAGCTATGAACCTATTAAAAGTTCAAATGAATACAAAGCCAGTCATGAAAATCTTCAGGTTCAGTTGAATGACGCTAAATCACAAGTTGAACGTTTCAGAACAGAATTCCTTAGGGTAAGAATCTTTAGCCATGATATAGCATTTTTAGCAAAATGTGCTGTAAAAGTCAAGTCTTTGTTTGGAACTAGATATACGTAAATGCAACACTGATTTAGTTTCTTTCTATTCATTTACCTTCCCAATAGGACATAGGGCTTCAAGCTAGCGGCCTGAAGTTTCAGTAGGAGTGGTGTTTAATTTTACGGGTTGGGGTCGCTAGCCTCATGCTCAACCTACCCTCTTTACCCATCTTATTACTGGCTTAGCGAGGTAAAGGAGTGTGTTGGCCGGGGGATAGAACCCCAGACCACCTGAGTGGTTGGCGAACATCCTATCACTGTGCCACCGACGCACTGATTTAGTTTTAGTTTACTCATAAAAATTGATAATTTGATGTTGGAATTGTTCTGAATCAGAGTAGGCTGAGATTTTGTAATCAAATTGCAAGTCTTTGACATTCTGCCTATTTACTAAATTTCTAATATCAGCGATGATTCCTAATGCTTTGAAGGCTAATCCCTTGATGGTATCTGTGTTAATTTTTTTAATTAGAACTGTTGTGTTTTATTTCATGAAATAGGAATTCGACACATTAAAGTTGTTCATTTGTAACTTACGCATTCTGAGGTGAATAATCACCAATATTTCCTTTGGAAATCAAAAGTATTCACATCAAATATGTGATCTACTTACTATTATAAATGGTTATCAAGAAAACAAGTATCATAATATGATAGTTTATACTACTGATTCATATAAGTGGTTAGAAATGGTATGGTGTAATTATTATGATTCCGATCATGAAACTATAGTACATTCACGTTTTCAGGTTCTGCTGTGGTGAGAGCTGTCTGCTAGCCAAACTTGGTAGACAGCAATTTACGTCAATGTTTACGTCCCAAAAATAAAGACTAACTCAACAAACAGTCACGGCAGACTTTGCGTGGGTGGATACTATTTGCAGATATTAGGTCTGACCTTCAAAGAAACGGTCACAAAGAGATGACAGAATTTACTTTCAGCGAGAAAACAACCAATCAGAAGACTCTGTCTCTCTGCTAATAATAACGAATAATAATGTAGATAGAAATGTATAAATATCTGTTGATTACCTCAATCAACGATCTGTTGCCTGACTCTTGTCTTCTGTCGTTACACTACTATGTGCCAATGCTGTACAAGGTCAAAGACAAACAACATTGTATTAAGAAGCACAGCTGAACACTTGAAAAGATGTATTGCAAAAAAGAATCGAATTTTAAAAGGCGAGAGGCGAACGAGGAAGTGCAAAACCATGAAAAATATATGTGTAATAAAAGAACAGCAATGGTTAATAATAACACAATGGCAAATATTCCACAAGCATATGTAAAATTAGTTTCTGTAGGCATATAAAAATCGTACATGAATTAGTTTTATGAGCATATGTACAGTTAGGCTTAGTATAGGGACGCTACAATGGTATATGTGTGGTGAGAGCAGGCCGTGAGAAAATATGAGCAAGGCTGATTCAACAACCAATCACAGCAAAGTTAACGTGGCAAAGTATGATTCTCAGATAGAGAACTCTATTTGTCGAGGAATCCCGAAACAACCAATCAGAAGCCTGCGTTTGTCTGCCTAACTTCTGATAAACAACCAATCAGATGACTGCGCTTGTCTACTTGCATAAGCTATAATAATGTATGTGAAATATGTATAAATACGTGTTGATTTTCATAATAAAACGATCTGTTGCCTGGCCCTTGTCTTCTGTTGTTACATATGTATCATTCTGACGAATACTTGTTACTTTACCAAGACCTTATATCTTTTGATCAATGAACTAAACATTTAAAAATCCAGCTTAGTTTTTAGTGAAAAAGAAACAAATAGTCTTTCAATCATACTAACTGATTATTTTTCAACCAATTCACAGTTAAGTAAAGAACGAATAGATGAGCAATGTGAACTTGGCAAAGTTGTTGAACTACTTCATAATCAACTTGAAACAGTTTCACTGGAAAGAGATCAAGTAATCACTAAAACAAATATGGAATCAAAACAAACTGGTAAACAATTTGAACATTTAAAGAATTGTGTTAACCAACTACTGGAAACCAATACTGAACAAGAGAAGGTAGGTTTCATTTACAATGAAGAAAGAAAAATGAGCACTATCTTTTAATTCTTCTTATTCCATTATCTTTTATCCTTCTCATCAGAGATACAAAATTGTTTAATTTTTCTATTTATATGCTGCAAGACTAATCGTGAGCAGCTTTAATCTACGCACAACATCATATGTTTAGGCAGCATTTCTTTTTTGATAAGGCTAAATTCAAATATCTAAGGATCGCCATAGAATACATTTTTATATGAGTTCATTTGAAATAATGACGTCATATTATTGACAGGACACCTAATCAAGAACACTTTATTCCTTGTAACCGTATAACATCATTCACATTAACTTTGGGATTCACTTTATATAATTTTTGTTTTTACTTTTCTCAAGTTATCTAATATTCCTATTACTTATTCTGAGTTTTGATTAGATGAAAGTAATATAGTTAGATGAAGAAAAGTTAGTCACTAAGTCTTTGTCCATTTAACTTCTTATCAACTTATCCATTTGAGATGACAAACACTGATCTTGGACTCATGGAAAATTCTACTAAAGTAGTGGAAAAGAAAAGTTCCAAAGTCGCACACATATTTTTGAAATGATTATGCGTAATAAGTTGTGCTCAGAAAACATTCAGTTAGTCACAGTATATCAGTGTGTGCTATACTAAACAAGCTTGTTTAGTAATGGAATTAGCCTTCAGTAACTACTTATTATGAGTGAATCTGAGGTATATTCGAGCAATAATTTTTGATAGACTTGTATACATTTATTGAAACTATAAGAAAATGCTCATTGATGACGATATTTGGAATGGTATGGTCAAATGGGTATCGTTATTTAGATTAAACATGTCTGCCTTTATAGCTGTTTTTTAATTGAGTCGCTAGGCTAGTTTTTGAATTTGGTTATAATTCTTCAGTAGATTTTTAGAGTTCGGTAACTATTGTGTTGAAATATTGTATACATTTTGGCGTATGTTATTTTAAATGCAGCAATGCTTATTTTTATTTTCGGAGAGACAAAACAGCAATTAATTTGTGGTTTATATTCGTTGTGACCACTTCTCAGCAGAAATGGTTATTGATCTAGTTATCTTTGTCGTAATGAATAAGCAAAAACAGTGTGCATTGTCAACTGTATTAAGATCTAATAAATCTTGTTTTTTTAATTTTATGTACACTTAAATATGATGTTATGAATAAGGTTGAATTTAATTCTCTTTCTTTTATATTTTAAAGTCAATCATTGTGCACATTCAGATAGTGATAGGAAATTTTGAAGACTTTTTACTCATAACCTGTGGAGTATTTAATCACGAAATAATCTGATCTTTTGGAATCCACTTAGAAAGCTATGTACTACTAGCCAGAGATATCATTTACTGTGTCGATAATAATAATAATAATAACAATGTAGAGAGTTAACTTAATCCTTCCGTTAACTTTAAAATTTAATTACAAACAACAGCCATGACTGCTTCAAACAAACAAATGATTTTAAATTGCGAATAAGTGTAACACAGCATCCGTGTAGTTATCTAAGAAAGCTTCTACCTGAATATTCAGATTATTGGCCATCCATTGTTCAGAGAAACAGCCTTTTTATACTCATGAAGATCACTGGAAAATTTAATGCCGAATAGATATTGTATTGAAAAACTTTGATGAATGAAAAACACATTAGACACGTATTTTATCCTATTTTGACTCCTAATAGGTAAAAAAGAATGACTAAATGGGACAGTGAACTCGAGGTCGTATGAACTCTTGATGAAAATCACTCCAAAACTAGTTACAATATCTACTGACCAATCATTTAATGAAAAGTTCCTTAAAATCTTTATAAAATATTAGAAAAATTTTATTGTTTAATTTTTTTTTTATACTTTTGAAGCTAATGTCTGAGATGAATGAACGCTTGGATGCGTCAAATAAAGAATTGGCAAGATATAAATCAGCTTTAGAACGTATCAACTCAACTTTTCGAAGATTTGATTCCACTAACGAATTAAGCGATATAACTGATTACAAACGAACTGATTTCGCTGAATCTTCCTACTGTCGTCTAGATAAGATATTAAAAGTAAGAAGTTGATAGGGAAACAAATTTCTCTAGAAAATATTTTATAAAGCAGTGCTAGTTAATTCAGACCTTTTATAACTAACGATTGAAAGAACATTAACCAAATGTGCTTAATCTGGTGATTTGAAGAGTGGCAAATTTCAAGTTTATATGCATAAAAAGCTTGATTTTTGTTTTTACTGTACTTTTTTAAGACACAGTTATCTCTAGTATTTAATTGGTGGATGATGAATAGCACTGGAATCCAGGATGCACATTTCGTCCTATTCGGGACTGGTCATCTGGATGCACTTGCATCGGTGGGAACATCATCACTCACTGAGAAATGCAGGTACATCCAGATGACGAGTCTTAAGTAGGACGAAATGTGCATCCTGGATTCCACTGCTAGTCATCATCCACCAATTAAATACTAATTAAATGCCCAGACATCGTTGAAGCATCTGCACAAGAAGCCGACATGCCAACTTGAGACTGAGCACTTCGGTCCAATCAATCGACGGGAAAATCTAAAATTCAATTTAAAATAAGTTATCTATAGTTAAATTTAGTCCCCTACTGTAAACAGGTTATATTCTTCAGAAAACTTGTTCATGGTTCACTGATCTTGTTAAGCTTTTTAATTTGAATGAATAAGTTAGTGATACTGTGAGTGAACTGCTGATAAATGACCAACAGATTCTAGAACCACTTTTATAGTTGTGAATAACGGTTTAACTCAGAAACGCGTTGCTATTTACATGGTGTTTTTCATCTAAAAGTAATTTTCTTCGACGGATTGTGTGTGTATGTGTGTGTAATAACAGTCATTGAGAGGGTAACTTTATGTCAAAAGATTTTAATACTGACCATGTATATAGTCAGTCTAGTGCTTGAAACAGCCGCCTGTTGTTAAAAACAGAAATATAAGTTCAGGTTACTGTTACGTTAGGTTGTTTTTCCGATACCAAAGTAGCTAATAATGCTTTACAATCAAAATTTAACAAAATTCTGTATACTCTTGACTGTATTCATTGCTATTTTAGATATTAGAAGAGAAAGAACATTTACAAAATATAGAAATTGAAAAACTGAAAACTAAAATTGAAGTTTTACAAAGTCAACATGAAGCGGAGATTTGTAGAATTGAAGAAAAGCATCAATCCTCGTCAGTTGCGTTTTTGATTTTTTCTCATAGTGATTTCTTAATACCTGTTTTTTTTACTATTTCACTGAATCATATATGTGTATAAAAATGTATAGTGAAAATAATTACACATTATCAGAACTATTCTGTGGTTATTGAAATTAAATACTTTTATAAGAAACAGATGAAGGTAGATGTTTGTCTCCATGAGATAAGCATAATGGCACCGATTTCCCCAGTAAAAAAATTCGTATGCAGATACTGTGATTTACTCGCTAAACACATTCTGAACAATCCAGTTACAGATGTTTATGTAAGAAATAATGGAAATGTAAGTGGTCGAAAAATGGAAATAGATTACGTGAGAGGACAGAACTGAAGGTAAACTAAGGATGAAGATTAATATACTCAAATCTATCTTCAAAATCAAACTCTTAAGTAAACGTTTAGTGTGGTGTTATCGTTGTCTATAAGTGAAATAGTACTACTCAAACCTAATGCCTAAGAGTTCAACAACTGTTTAATACCTCTAACAGGTTTCATCGGCGAGTTTAAGTAATACATCTTTATTTTATTCACCTTACCTTCAGCACATTTCACGACCAAAGACCTTGTAGAACCCTCATCAGTAGACATAATCACATTACGAATTATGGGGATGAAAATTCGAGTTAATGTGGGCAAATGGAGTCAGTATACTATAAAAACACAGATAAAGTTATAAAAACTCTTGGTTACTTGATAATATAGTTATATTTCTGTGTTACAAATTAATAATATGATCCAAAGAAACGCTCACTGCTCCGGTCGTATCAACTTTTGGGAGCTGTTAACCCTTTGTAGAATAGTCTTTGGACGAGGATGACAGATTCCTGCAAATTTCAACACAGTTTGTAGTGAAATAAGTAGACATTAGGGACCAGCAAGAAAACGAAGTGACGAGCAGCACACTATATTTTCAATTATACCCCAAATGTTATGCAGATTTTACAGTGAATCTTTTTAAACAAAAGTTATGTACAATGTTCCCATTTGTGACATCTAACATAGAACTGTACAAAAATATTGATCTAGACTCCACAACCTCGGTCTATTTCAGATGATTAATTTCTCTACTCAGGCTCATTCTAAGTGTGTTACATCATCACTACCTGCAAGAACTAGTGAGTCTTCACTTTGTACGTATAATAACACAAACACACACAAAGCTTACGAATACGATGGAATAAAACGTAGTCTTTCTCTGCTGACTTTAGTTCTGCAACTATCTTGACAATGCTCTCTTCTCTTATGAAATCTTCTAGAGCTAATCTGTCCTAATTTTTCCATACCTCAGTGAAGTTTCGCTTACGATCTGTAATGTAAGACTTTAATAAGAACAAAATTCACTTAACATTTTTAAAAATCTTACAGAGACTCTGAAAAACAACTGATATTTAAAAGGTTATAGAGGGATTTTGCAGTAAGTAGTGTAATCATAAATGATCAGAGATTACCGTGATACTTGTACAGAGTATTAAAAAATATCAGTTTGTTATGCCCAAAGAATTTTCATGGACGGGAAAAATGTCTTTTAGCAAATTTCTAAGCTCACTATCGACAATTCTTTCCATTACTAACCAGTTGTCGCTTTTGATAAAGCGTACTGTGGAAATTTTTGTTAGCGTATTTCCTACTTGAGCAGAACTGAACTTGTTCAGAATGTATTTGGGTGATTAGTTAAAGCCTGAATTAATCATATAGTATAAATATTAAATAACTGGTGTAGTTGAGAATCCTTCGCACAGACAAAAAGCTCCAGAGATCATTAATAACACAAAGCCACTCACTTCGCTTAAGGATGAAGTTATCTGTGGTTTACTGTGAAAACCTCGAGTTACTGAAGTTAGTCGAAATCTTACCATTTACTTGGGTGAGCTAGCAGTGTCTTGAGTTGCAATAACTATTTACGGGATTCACAGTCTTTTACATTTATTTTTACATTTGAAATTCACTTATACTTCCTTCATAATCAAATTTTCACCACACTTTCGACTTTTCTATCAGTCTCCGTAGACAATGTGACCAACTTCAAGAAGAATTAAATAAAACAGTAGTACGTGCTGAAAATGCCACCATGGAGGCGAAAACTTTAAGCGTAGAAGTGACAAATGCGAGATCAAATTATGAGAGAGAAATAGCGGAAAAGCGTGAAAGGATACAGGAATTAGAGAAAGAATTAATGGATTTTAAGTCAAAACAAAATGTAAGATATAACTGTTTGCGTTTCAGTACATAAATATTTAACTTTAGGACTCCAATTAATCCAGATGTTATTTAAAAGCCTCTTAGGAATGCGCATGTAACCGTTGAGGGTGACTGATTAGATCTGATACCCTTCAGATAATATTCTCCTAAGCAACATAGAGTTCTTTAAATTCTAATTTATTATTCAACAAAACGTTATGCTAGTCTTCTGTAATTCAAAAATGAAGTCCACATATTTGATTTATTTTGATTAATAGTAGTTAGTTGAAACATTTAACTCTTATTTTGATGTCAGTTAGTGGCACATCTGTCCTACATTTCAGGATTTAGATTTAAACTCTAGAAAAGCACTTGAAACTGTCTTGGACTCAACACAAAAAGAATTAATTAAAATGAAGTGTGAAAGAGATTCTGCAACCAGTCAACTGTCTACCTTAAATGCAAAATTAGAAGCAGCAGAAGTGAGTTACTGTGAAAACATTTAGGTTTCTTCATTGTTAATACTTTCCCCTAACATTTTCATGTTGGTGTGACCTTAACCGCGTAAAAGATAGTAAAATAACTTATTTGTCTCTTAAGTTTTATCTGTGTTTGCCTGCGTCACAAGTACAAAATATTCGCTTAACAACAGTTAATTTTAGTTCTGAGATTCTTGTAAATAATTGATTTTATGTTTGAAAGGTACAAAGGTCGTTTGCGACCTGTAGTCCAGAAAAAAAACCTCAACGAAAGTTAATTACTGCGGAAATTTCAGTGTGATTCATTTTCATGCATTAATTACTTTTGAGTTCAACCATTATTTTAATAAATAAGTATAGTCATTTATTTAAATAAAGGCAATTCATTCAGTATCATCATATTGTGTAAATTTCTAAACCTACGGAATTATCTGAACTGATCCAACCAAGCTAAAAAAATATGTATGGGGTCCTGTACTCAGCTTTCCTTTAAATAACTGACACTTTCCTATGACAGTCAATTGTAATTATAATGTCTGTCTCCGGTTAAGTTTCATATTATTCATTTTTCAAAATTTCACAACTGCCCCAAGGATGAGTGCTGAGAGTTATGAGATTTGGGTCCAGATCTTCCTGATGAGTAATTTTCTAACATACATGGAGTTAACTTTTACTGCTATGATGATATCTTCTATGTGTTAGCCGATTTTCAAGGGAACAGTGCTTCCTTTTTCATCTATTCATGTGGATGTTCAGCGATTTACCTGCAACTGCAGGAAATTACCAGATTCACAAAAAGCAAATCATATGATGATGAAATGGTAACGTGACGCATCATGATCAAGAAAAACGTAGAATGGAAGTCAAATCTCTACCCCAACTTCATGGACTTTCCAAATGCCTTCAACAGCGTTGACCGCAAAGTAATTTGAAAACTAATTCAACGCTATGGAGTGCCCCAAACTAAATCAACCTTATTCGAAAACTATATGGTGATGCCAAGTGTCATGTGATCCACAACGGAAGACTCAGCGAAGCCTCTAAAGTGATTTCAGGAGTATGAAAATGCTGCCTACTATTACTAGTGATATTCCTAATTGTGGGGGATTATTCGGCAAGTAATGGGGAGTGAGAAGACAGGAATATGTTGGACCGATAAAAAGTCTGTAAAACATCTTGACTTCATGGATGATTTGTGTCTATTTTGACACCAACCGAAGATTTACAAGGGCAAACCATTATGTCGGCAGAAAAACAACGAAGACAAGACTTTGGGTAAACTTAGTGAAGAAGAGGCTATGCAGTCACCCAACCAACTACACATCACTATCAACAGGAGAAATGTGAAGGAGGTGACTTCTTCCACTTATCTGAGCAGCACCGTTTTAACTACAGGTGGCATGTCTAAGGATGTCTAGGCTAGTGAGGATAAGAAAGGCGAGAGAGAATTTTATTAAATTATTTAGGAAATCTGAAGCACCTAACATAAAGGACAGGATTCAGATTTTTAGCACTCATGTTAGGTCAGTGTTTCTTTATAGTTCAGAGACTTAATGTGCCAGCAAAGGCATTTCAGACAGACTGCAGACTTTTCTCACCAGCTACCTTCACTGGCTCAATACTGGAAATCAGACACTGAGCTAGAAAAGACTGGTGACAAGAAACTTTGGCAATAAACCAACCGATGACCTGTCGCCCAACAGATATACCTAAGAAAGTGGAAAAAGGTTAGACACACGCTGATGATACTGTTGACTGACATCGCGCGCTAGTCCCCAGAGTAAAACCCGAATGGCAAACGACAAGTTGAGAATACAAGGGTGTCATTAGAGGGAATAAAAGCTTATACGCAACCGCGAAGTCAGCTAAGAAAGGGCTGCAGTGGACAAAGTGAAGTGGAGATGTGCCGTTGAAGCCCTATGTTCTACTTGGAACCAGAGGAAATAATAATACAATTCTTTCCAAATCTAGTGAAAGTCCTTTGGACACAATTTAAATTCGCTCAATGATTTTATTTTTAAACCTATTGAACAATTGAATACAAATACACGAAACATTTGTTTATCGCCACTTTATGTTAATTACAAACGAATTCGCCTTGATGCTTTACCCTAATGAGCCATATATAGTGACTTTTCACTCTAGGTATTATCTATCTAATCGTCCTTAACTTGATTTATTTATATATTGACAACTGTAATTCTGTATCTGATATAATACGCTTACTCTCTTAGCTTACAATTTTTTCTATCTTTAACGGATAAATTGTATATATAATCCATGAGTAATAATTCAGTTTCACGGCCCCACATTCATTTTGTATTTTCACTAGTATCATAATTATCTGTAATTACAACAATATGGTTTTTGTGATCCTCTGAGATAGCCTTGAGCTGGTGGACTAAAAATGACAGTATATTTAGAACTGGCTGGGTGACTAATGTTAAACGCGAACCTACATGTCACATTTATTCACATAATAGATGGAGAATAACTCTTATTGGTTTCAGTGAAAATGAAAGCCTGCTTCTACCTGGTTTGTAGAACCTTATCCAAAGACCATAGAGTCAGCTATTTGCAGGTCGATTCTTTAAAATATGTCGTAATAGGAGTTCTCCTCGTGGCACTAAAACGATTAATGCCTTACATTATTTCTAAATACTTTGATCTCAATTCATTATTTACCAAACATGATAATTTTGCTTAAACATTATTATCAAATAGAACTGGGTGGTTTGAGGCAACCGGCATAAAGCTTTGTGCCTAGGTTTCGCGTTTGTCGGCACTCGTCAGCAAGACGTATCTGTAGTCTTGAAGGAATTCATGCCGTTTCTGAGTTTATAACCCGTGTCACTCAGTGATGAAGTCAGAGGCGTTACGACTGAGCTATTCGGGCTTGCCATTGACCACCCGTAAGACTGTAGGAGATACATTTATTAGACACTAACTAGTATCATGTGTCCAGTCCTTGATTTACTGAAGACTGAATTCTATCAGTCAAGTTTGCAATTTAGCCATCACGCTAGGATAGCCCAGTGGTAACGTCTCTGACTTCAAAACTGAGTGATACGGCTTCGAATCTCGGAAGGGATATGAGTTCCTTCAAGGTTGCAGAAACGCCTTGCTGATGAGTGCCAACAAGCACGAAACCTAGGACCAAAACTTTCTGCTGATTGCTTCCAACCATCAAATAGCAACAATTGTGAATGCAGCGTGATGGAAAGCCACCTGGCTTAGTGCAGACTTGACTGAAAGAATTCAGTCCACAGTAAACAAAGGACTAGACACAATGACACTAGTTGGTGTCCGGTCGAAATATCAAATAAAATTGAAACTAAATATTAATTATATCCTGAAGACTGTTAGGCAGTTCTTTGGTTTTGTTACTGCAGATCGCATTCAAAATTTTTTATGTGAAATTTGCTTCCAGGATTGTCAATCTTTTAAAAAATACCTTCTTATGATTACTGGTCAGTTAGATATAATAATCTGACCAACTGATAAATTAACATGGATATTTACACAGATCAAATCGCTTGAAAGTATACGCAGAAGAAGGGGACAGAAATGTGGTGATAATACAATGCATATTTGTGTTTCAGAGGGAAGAATAACTTCCATAAGGATACCAGAGATAAAAAAGGGGTAGATCTTCTTTATTGATAAAACTTTTAGCTACTATTGTAACAATCAAATTTATTCGGTTATGGTCTGAACGCAAGAAACCAGTCTCTGCGTTCTACTATATAGCCGAAAAAACTTAGTTGAGACAAGCGCTGTCCCGAAACTTTTCAAAAGCACGGAAGATGTTTTATCGGTTCAATTAAACGATGATAATATCAAACCTTAAATTTACCTCAATAGTGCCGTGAAGCAGCTATGCAGGCAGTGTAGTTTTCTAAATACAAAATAAGTACCATAAGACAAAATTAATTAACCAAAGTCTAATTGTAAAAATTGCCTTAGAATCGAGGGGGTTATTCCTGGTGAGGTGGCATCAAGAGTCTTGTCTACAGGAATCACACTTTAACGCTTCACGATTACAGTCCCGGATGGGAATAAACTTTATTCACTTGAAAAAACTCATATCGTTGAAAAACACATTGTCATTGTATACACAATCACAAAGAAGAGTATTGTAATTAAAGATTAAATGAGGACAAAGGCAAATAATAAAGGTCAAAATCAACATGTGATCTGTAGATGTCAGATTAATCATACTCAGTGTAGTGGAGAAACGTATAATAATTACAAACTTATCTCGAAATTCAAAATAATTATGAATATTATAAGTAGATCGTCCACTAGGGATTCTCCAAGCAGTTTGTCCACTACAATTATACCAGGAATCTCTAACATCTGATTCAGAGAATGCCAACGAGCCAAGCCAGATCACCCATAATTATCTATTTTTTCAGACAACATGAGCAGTCAGCATTAATTACAGGATGTAGTTTTGAGTTGAACTAACTAAAAATCGACAATTTCTTCTTCGTTTAAAACTTCTCGTCTATCATTATTAACGGTTTTTAAACACTTTGTTTTCATAAATTATGTATAAAAGAGGTGAGTGTGATGACTAGATGATTCATAGTGCTATACTTTTCCCTAGTCTTATATTACAGATCTGGATAATCGTATAAATAAGCAATCAACAGTTGATCAAACAATACGAAATCAATTGGATGAAAGTAATAAACTTAACAGACACTTACAATCAACTATGAAATCAATAGAGCTATCAATACAAAGATTACAATATCTAATTGTTAACGATTTAAATTTATGCACAGATTGGAATTGTGGCAAAGTAATTAAAGAAGACCAAATAAATGAATTTATTGATAGTGTAAGTATTTGAACTTATTACTCTTACTGTATTTCTACTCTCTGAAATATCAATAAGCCGGATGAAATTTTGTTGGAGTCTGTAGTAATAAAGGGTTTCATAGAAAATTCAGTGCATCCTAATTTTCGCTATCAATAATCTTATAGAATGTATTAAACAACTGGAATGACAGAACACATGAGTTATAGAAGATTTGAGTATTAAGCCAACATGTGTAAAAGTTTTTAAAATTTAGACCGTAGATTAACATAATCCAGGGAACCATAGAAAACCACGCAGCACTAGGCAGCTGTTGCATTGTGGATTAAGACTGTTCAGCAATATGCGTCCATGATTACACCGGGAATTGAGCTTAGAACTTCCAGGTTGCGAGTTCAGCCCATTGATCATTCAGCCACTGGGATGGAATCCAGTGGCCCATCGATCCTAACTTTTTCTCTGTTTAAATTAATCCAATGCGCTCACTGTCAATTGACTGCAGGATGAAGTTGCTTAAAGTCCTAGTGAGAATTCATGATCAGTGGAGTTCACCAGGTAGAGTCTCAAGACAAACACTCACCGATGACAGTGCATGATGATGTTGTTAACAGTCGCAAATCGACAGACGCTAGAATTCAAGGGCCACTGGATTCCATTCTAGTGTATGAATAGGCAGCGATCTCACTACATAACTTGAAAGTCCTAGGTTATATACTTGGTTAGATTGTGGGTAAACACTACTGACGAGTCCAAAACTAGGAAGAAACGGTGTCCAGTATTCCCTGGTTTTCAATGATTTTCTAAGTATTTTTCTGAAGGAAGTTCATACAAGAGAGTTCATTTATTAAGGACTCAGAGATCTGTCTGTAAACCAGTTGTGTATTAGAACAAATTCAGTTAGTTTTTCTTAAATAGAATGGAAAGACACCAAAACTTCATTTACAGTAAACTATAAATTTACACTAAATGTTTATGGTAACTGTTTTCATTTTCACTGATGTCAGGTGGTGGTAGTCTTCTTTTGTGATGCATAACTCATTGTTCTGGATAACACTTAAAATTTCTAGTCTTTCTACATAGGTTGCTCTTGAATTTCAACAGCATCGAATAGATTACACATTATCTTCTTTTCTAATAGATTAGGCCAAATGTGTTGCACATTCGAGAAACCGCAGAGGAAATCCTACTGCCATTTTGAATCTTGTCACCATTAACATCTATTTCAATATTAATTTAAAACAATTAGCCCCTTTTATAAATTTGGATAGCGTTATAAGAAGACGAGATTATCTGAAAAATAATGTGATATATTTGCGCCATATATTTCGAACAATCTGATCACACATTTACTTGTCAACTGGATGGATATATAGGCAGTTAAATTAAACAAAGTGAGAAAAACAGGATTTAAGAATAATTAACACAACATTTGGTAATCCAATTAAATAAGGATTACCAAGGTAGGTTAAGAGTAATAATAAAATGTTTTTGAATACCAAAGGTTGTGTTAATCATTCTTAAATCCTTTTTTTCTCACTTTGTTTAGTTTAATTGCCTTTAATTTTTTTTTCATATACATCCACTTGACAAGTAAATGTGTGATCAGATTGTTCGAAATGTATGGCGCAAATACATCACATTATTTTTCAGATAATCTTCGTCTTCTTATAACGCTATTCAATATTAATTGTCAGTTTTTCAACGAATAACAGCTTGTCAAGCTGATATTGTGTTAGATACTTTAAGTGAAATGTCACAGAATAGGGAAAATGCATTTGTCTTATTTGTACACGCCATTCAGCTTCGCGTTGCATTGTTGCAAAAGACACTGTCAAACTGTCACAATTTCGGTTACTGGATTTACAGTGAAATCATTTTTCCTCTGCAGTATAAAGTAACGATATTCCCTTTAGGCGATAAAAAAAGTTCATTGTACTTGAAGAATATCGATTAAATCTGGAATTTACTTATCTTTTAAAAATACAGTTGTGCAAACTGTAAATAAAACTGACTATTCAGTTGATTTGATTGATTATATTCGTAGCTGGTTTGTAGGTATCTTTTAAAACTTAACTGGCCATTACCCGCATCTACTGCTAGTTTGTGTGGATGACAGTGAGAACCCTTATTTCAAAACTGATGTAAACGACAAACAAAGCTATTGGTTAGTATTTTGGTGCAAGCATTAGTTGCTACGATTACTAGTGTGGAATCGATAATTCTGTAAAACATCCTTTTATTTTATTCACTCTTGCAAAAAATAATAAAACTTGTTAGACAAAAAAGAAACCTGTAGTGTAGATTAGCATTTATAACAGAGGGATAGAACGTGATAGCTACTCTTCAGCGATAAATCATAACTTCATAAAATCCCTTATAAAATCAGTAAAAACAGTTATAAGCATTTTCAGTAGAATTCTTAGACCAGTTTTAATTTCATGCAGACAGCTTTCATATCCCAAGAATTATGAATGAAGAGGCCTCACCTATTTCTAAAAGATACGATCATTCACTACCTCCCAAATTATTATTTAATTTATGTTCTTGATTTAGAGGTTTTGTTTGTATATACTGAAAACTTCAAGGGAAGACTGAGTACATAATCTTTTTCCACAGTTAAATTGTTGAACCAGAATTTGTAATCAACAAGTAAATTTTGGCTGATATTAATCAGTAAATAGACAGTAAATGTATCAGATGGTTGGAGGCAATGGACAGGAAGCCTTGGACCTAGGTTTCGTACTAGTTGGCACTCGTCAGCAAGGCAGCGTATCTGCAACCTTGAAGGAATTCATGTCCCTTCTGAGATTCGAACCCACGTCACCCAGTGCTGCAGTCAGTCAGAGACGTTACCACTGAGCTATTCGGGCCCGCGATTGACAGTAAATGTTTCATGAATTCGACCACGGAATGATATCAGCTAGAGAACCTTTGAAAACCAGCACTGGAGTACTGGACAGCTGTTTCATCCTAGTTTGGGAATCATCTTCAGTACGCACTCACCGCCAGGGTTCGAACTCAGAAGCTTCCGGTTACAAAGCAGGTTTGTCCCAGTGTCTGAATGGTATACCAGCTTGCCTGGCAACTGGAAATTTCTGGGTTTGAACCCCAGTAGGTGCGTACTACCGACGATTCCCAAACTAGGGTGAAACAGCTCTCCAGTACTCCAGTTCTGGCTTTCAATGCTTCTCTAACTGATATCAATCCATGATCAAATTCGAAAAATAAATCAAATCCTTACAAATCAACCTTGAAAATATTTTATGCATTGCTTCACATGATCAATGAAAATGTGTTGACCAGAGATTATATTTTTAATTAATTCAACAGACACTGGAGTTCGTTTTATCTTATTACGACAAGTGAGAATAATAAACGAAAAATATATCCCGTAGGACGTCAAATATATGCATAATCAAGACTTTCTGTTGATATCTGAAAACATTGAAACCTTAGCAGTTTACTACTTCAGTCATACAAATTAGTGGTAAAGCTAGTCTAACTCAGCTTTCCTACTCGCCATATTTAAACATTTTGCTTTGATTCGTCAATAAACACTCAAAATAAGTATCTTATTTTGTAATGACGAAAAACTAATGTTCGAATGTGTTAAGGTCCAACATCTCAGCCAGATTATCAGACATTTTTGGATGATGAATTATTGTAAGCGAGGGAATTGGGATTCAGAGATTTCCGCTTTGTATCATTCAGATATTTAACTCAAAAACTGCATTTAGGTAATAAATGAACGCCGAGAAAGTACACTACAGTACTCAGATATTATTTTACTACTAGTTAAAAAGTAATGAATTTTTGTGATTCAAATCTATCGTGTTGATATAATCTGACGTTTTCCATTTTATTAAAAGGTTATCAAAGTAATCAGTGAACTGCATATGAAATCATTTATGAATAAGGAGAATAAATCTCAAACAAAACGATTACGAAGACAAGTTGAAGAGTTGAATGAAGAATTGGACAAGTTTAAATCAACTTTTAAAAATAATCAACGTTCTCTTTCAGAGTATAAGAAGGCTCTTGGTTAGTATTATTTTAAACAAATATTAATAGTTACTTATAGGTAGGTGAAGGGAAGTAGTTAAGACAGTTGTCTAAACCCACCGACTGCACCCTAGATCAGTGGTGAGAGAACCATAGCGTTCGTTGTGGGTGCTATGATATCGGTCCACATACGTCCTTATGCGCATCGGTGGCTTAGTTGTAGAACACTCGCCAACCTCACAAGTGGTCCATGGCTTGATCCCCGGTAAATGCACAGCTTTACTTCACTTAGTCAGTTATAAGCCCGCTATAGAGGGAAGATTGGGTAAAAAAACTACTGAAACTTCGAAACTCTAACTTGAAGCCATATGTTTACCTGAGAATGAAAATGAATAAACAAATAATAATAATAAAAAATTTAAATAATAACAAATAAAATAAATTAAGAAATATTAGGGATGCATGCAAAAATCAAAGAGCCTGAACGAATGATTGGAGGAATGGAGAAGAACTCAAAATACAGTGCAAAGACTGAGGAGTAATAGTAATTTAACTTATAGCAGTATAAGTGTTCAGTATTTTGATGCTGATTAAACGTGAATACATCTAAACCATTGTCAGTGTCTTTAGGCCATTACTTCCTATCGAGGCAGTTCTTACATTCAAGTATGACTTGGAACAATAACTACAGACTTTAAAGGATGGTTCCGTGTATTGGTCTGATAGATCTTAACCCACTTCTTCCCTTTTCTGACTTTCACTAATGTAGAGTGTAGAGGTAAATTGTGGCTACACAAGCATTTTAAATGACACTGGAATCACACATGATGTAACGCAAGAAGACTGATTCCGGCGAGCTCCGATTATGGTGAGGAGCGAAAGCTACTCAAACGAAAACTAACAAGATGTTTCGCAACGACTGTGAACAGTGGTGGGCGACAAGAGCGAAAGAGATGGAAAAGGCATCGGCGATTGGTAACACCAGACAGCTATTTAGGCTATCAGAGAAACAGGTTGTGAAAGGCGAATTATAAATGAAACAATCTCTGAGAGAATGGCACCATAATTAGCTCCCAGGATAGACGACTGGAACTCTGAAAAGAACACTATGAGGAGCAGTTTAATTGGCCTACAGCCACGTTCAACCTGCCGAACATCCAACACCTCCCTGGATGGGATATAGACACAGGTCCTCCTTCCTCAACTGAGGTTATCGAAGCTGTCACTAGTCCGAGACAAGGCAAAGCAGCAGGACCTGATGGAATGACTCTAGAGGTATTTAAGTACGGTGAGGACAGTTTACTGTCTGCATTAACTGAGATACTAGGATGCGTCTGGGAATCAGAAGATGTCCCGTCGGGTTGATGTAAGTCACTGATTATCCCCATATACATACAAGAAGGGAGAAAAGTCTTCCTCTGATGTACCATTGTTTGGAAACAATTGGTAATATGGCTCAAAATCGTTCTCAATGGCTGGTGTAGATGCATCCACTCCTTGTGATCTATGATTTCAAATGAAACTGCATTCTTCTTCGTTACTTCTATTTCTTTGTCTCACACCTCTGTTTACTTCTCTATTATGCATTTCTTCTATCGCCTTCTCTTGCTTTGCGTGTTACAAAGAAGGAGTGTGGCGACTTGAACTGCCGCACATCGGTGCAAAGTTCTATGTCGAAAACAAACAGACGGACAGACTTCCTGGTTTCATCTGCACACATAGTAATACAGCTTCCTATTAATGGATAGTGGGATATTTCACCCTAATAGTTATTGGCGCCTCTAGTCTACCGTTACAGTATGGGTGATAGTGTAGAAGAAAGTTTTATTTTATAAGAAATTTACTGAGAAATAAATGACTTAATAAATGATACACAAGTCTTAACAAACTGCGATATGACATCACGCGACTTCCATCATATGCTTGAAAAACAAGTCCAGTTATCCGGACTTCAGATTTAATTTAAAACTGAATTATGCCTTCGAATTAGCAATATCAAGGGAGGGGGGTAGTGAGTTTGGTTGTTAAAAATGTATTGAAATTTAGATTTCAATCTAATCTTAAGCTGTTTTTAGGAGATTTCTGCATTCAGATAGAAAATGTTGCATGTATATCTACAGTGCAATATTTCGTTTACATCAATTATGTTTTCTTTCAGCTGCCAAGGTTAATGAGTTCGAGAGCATTATATCAGAAAGAGATTATTATTTACAAATAATCAATGAACAAACGGAAGAATTATCCACCACTAAAGCTGAATACCTTCGTCAAATAAAAGAGGTTAGTAAGTTCAAATATTGGGGAAATAGTTTTCTGTAAAAGAAAGTATTCATTGACATATTTTCAGCTACAGTGAGTTGTTTGATTTCAAATTTTGTTAGCTTCATTAACTGCGAGATTAATATGATAATAGTGGAACTTATATTGCCTTTAATAACATGAGACTTTAGACTGTGAAACTTGGTAAGTGCTTTAGGAAAACTCAAGCTATCTACATTTACCTTTCCGTCTTAATAGATCTATGTATTACATAAGTAAGCAGTTTAAACAAAAAGTTATTTTAGTAGGCATTGATGTGAACTTATTTTGTTCACAATGAGTATGAAAGTTAACAAAGTGCACCTAGAAGAATTGTAGCTGTTTCATTCTCTATTACGGTCAAGAAGAAGGTGACAGGTCTAGTGGTATAGAGTTTCTTGTCTTTTCACATAATATATTTTCAAACTAACTATTATACAGCATCAAGATTGCAAACAGATTTAGGATTCAGAATATAATCTAAAAGCTAGGTTGGCATCGATACGATGTCCAGTATCGACCAAATGTGACAGGATCGAGCTTTTTATGCACTTAATTTCCCCCCTGCCGACCAAGCTGGTAACTGTTCTCGAACCCGTAGACAAACCTGCCTAGTCGTGCGCCCCTATATAACTTGAACCACAGGAACAGTTAAAATAGTATATGCATGAAGAAGAGCTAAGGTTATGTAAGACATCTTTGAGTTGCTGGGTGAACACTGGACATCCATTGAACATTCAGGTCATCCGAGACATTCTAAGCGAGGGCGGATATCCAGAGAATTTCATTAAAGCCAACAGAGGTTACGATAGTCGTAAAAATGAACTGACGACGTTGAAGAAAAGCCTCTGCTTTACTTCTCCACTTCAAAGGAGATACTCCTGTAGACATTCTATAGCAACGTTTAACCAGGGTGGTCAAGAAGACTTTCTACTCTGCGCGTCTATGTTTATCCTTCAGTAGCCGTCCAATGTTCACCCAGCAACTCAAAGATGTCTTACATAACCTTAGCTCTTCTTCATGCATATACTATTTTAACTGTTCCTGTGGTTCAAGTTATATAGGGGCGCACGACTAGGCAGGTTTGTCTACGGGTTCGAGAACATTTACCAGCTTGGTCGGCAGGGGGGAAATTAAGTGCATAAAAAGCTCGATCCTGTCACATTTGGTCGATACTGGACATCGTATCGACGCTAACACAGCTTTCAGGGTTATATACCGAATTTCGAAGATTCAGGATTCTTAGGAATTCATATTATTATGAATAAGTGTAAGTTGAGTTTAGCTGAATTTAAGTGATAATTAGAAGTGTTTGTTTAAGTATATGTTAATATTTTTTGCCTAAGAAAAAGAATTTTAGATTTTTCCCGTCGATTGATTGGAGCGAAGTGCTCGCTCTCAGGTTGACATGTCGCTTCTGTTGTAGATGCTTCGACGATGTCTGAGCATTTAATTAGAATTTAATTGGCGGATGATGACTAGCAGTGGAATTTAGGATGTAAACCTGAGACGGAACACTTCGGTTCAATCAATCGACGGGAAAATCAAAAATTAAATGAAATTAATATGATCCGTTGCACAGGAGGTGGCTCTCATGGCCCAAGTGGTCTAATGGATAACGTTTTGGTGTTTGGAACCATGGGCACTGGGTTCGAGCCTCAGTGGGAGCATCATCACTCACTGGGGAATGCAGGCACATCCGAATGACGAGTCCCAAATAGGACGAAATGCGAATCCTGGATTCCACTGCTAGTCACCATCCACTAATTAAATTCCAGGGAAAAGGAATGACCATACTCCAGTGTATCATATTTAAGCTTTTGATAGTACTTCATGTAACTGTAGCATTTTAAACTTAGCATAATTCTCCAATCGAATACTTAGGAAATTACTTTTACACTGATGACTGTATTTAATAATAGCAGGAAAAATTATTACATTCATTTAAAGCTTTCTAAGGAATATTTTTTCTCGGATCATTAAGCTACTTTACTCAGCCATATGATTTACAATCAATAAATGCAGGTGTTTAGTTTCATGGATATAGTATTAAAAAAAATCAAGAAAATATTTAGATTGATCTATTCTTATCCGATGTACAGAAAAACTTGTGAGCAAAGTGTTTACAACAGTAATTTATATTTTTTTAAAATTTATTCCTTTATTTTTTAAATTTTTGATTACAGCTTGATCCCACACCGTATTTTTGGTACAAGTATGGAATTTTCAGCATGGATACCGGTAGCCTAAATTTTGCAGGCCGACCATAGATATCAGGTGTGAGTCGGTAGGGGATCGAACCTCGGACCATGTGCATGGTCTGCGAGAGTCCTAACCACTGTGCCACCAACACACAATGGAACATGGGGCTTCAAGCTACAGCTTTAAAGTTTCGGTAGCAGTTGTGTTGCATTTTTAGGGGATCAGGTTGCCAGCCTCATGCCCAAGCTTTCATCTTTACGAGTCTTATTACTAGCTTTGCGAGTTTAGGAGTGAGTTGGAGGGGCATGGAACACCAAACCGCCTGCGTGGTTGGCCAGCATTCTACTGCTGTGCCACTGATATACACTTACTAGACTAATGCTTGACCTTTATTCTTTGAGCTGGATAAAACCTATAAGATATACATGACAGTACGCAAATGAACTTGCCATCATTTTGATATTTCACGAAATATTTGCAAACTAAAAGTTAAACAGTTAATTTATACTTTACACTTTTCTTTCATTAACTACATAAGTTACAGTAGTGTTCCATTTCACCTGTAAGATTATCTCATATTCTTTTACATGTTTGTTACAGCTACGGAACAAATAAAGTCATTAAAAACACAGTCACTTTCCCACTGTAAATGCTCACTGTCGAAATTAAGAAAAGGAACTAGCAATGAAAGGTGTATTACTTGTTGCAAATTAGTAAAGAAACCGGCTTCAACAGGTACTTATTTCTCTTTCAGTTCCAGTTATATTTCTTACTGGTTGATTCTTTTATGCTAACATTATATCGTTTCTAAAAAAAACTGCATTTTTTAATATCATTTGTAAAATATTTTGATATTTTTTATGAATCGTCTCTCAAGGGAACTAATGAAACTGCCTGAATTTTTGTTACCCTACTAAATATGCTCTAGTAAGAGAAATTTTGTTTTGATAAACGAAGCCACGTATATGGGGTCCAGATGACAGAATTTCGATATTAACATAAGTGTAGACCTGGCTGGATACAAACTTGCCTTACCGATGGATAAAAAGTTGGTTGCTTTAAGAAATCTTCATTAGCGAAAATTCATCTCTCTTAATTTCTGACTAATTAAGCGTGTAATGAATTCGATGAGTGCACGATAGATAGGTCGATCGCTAGCCTAAATAGTATACTTATGTAAACTGACTCAAGTTCTGCATTAGGTAAACAATTGTCATTTAAATCAAATACATCAAGAGTTAAGTTCATGTCATTTTCGTTTTAATTTAAGTAAGCTTCCTCGAGTCATCATAATCTGAACTATTTTACTTATGGACAAATTTTCACACTATTCAGTCAGAATGAAGATATCTTATGAGCTTGTTACTCACCCTACCAACACAATGTACTATTGCCTGAGACAAAACCTCTGAGTGAATTTTCTCCTTATGGAACGTGGCTTTCGACATCACGAAACTATTCCTTGAGAAAGTATATTAACATATATTTTTACCACAACATAATTTCCACCATGAGAGAAGTACTGTGTACACAAGAACCATTATCGAACCCTTAGCTTTAGCTCGATGCTGGATAATCGTTTCGTGACCTGATGATGTAGTTATCAAAAAGAATATTCAGTGTTCAGTAATCAATTTTTCAAAGACTTTAATCTTAATCCTGCTGAATTTATATTTTATTGTGAATAATTAAGTTAATGTTATAAATAATTCATATTTAGAGTGCAGTAAATCTAACTTCAGTTGTACACATATGAAAAATGCAATCCTCTCTTTCAAACATTCCCAACAAGAGACAGCATTTCGGATGCATAAAAGGTTTATCACATCATTAAAACATCAATGCATTTTAAAGCATGTCCAAAAACACATTAAGCAGTGACCCAATGAATTTCAATTGTATAACTTTGGTTACTAACAAATTTGTAAGTAGTCACTAATGTTTTGAATAATATCAAAATATGTTTCATAATTAATTTTGAATTAGGCTCTTTATTGTCTGATCAACGTTTGGCTGCAGTTGAATACGAAAAGCAAGCTAGCGAGAGTGCTATCGAAGAAATGAAAAAGCAGGTTGTTATTTATTAAAGTTTTATATTATTTTAATGTGTCTGTAAGGGAATGTATAGGTTTATACTTTTAAGAATGCATTAATATCAGATAGGCTAAGTATCGATAAGGCAAAGTGGACGTTTTGACAACTTGGATCAATTTCACTAAATCATCAAAAATAGCAGTCAGATAAATTTATATTTACGTAACAGTCGTCATTTAAAACTTCAGTTGCAAAAATTTATTAGTTTCCATAGATTCATGACGAAGTTTTACGATTTGAGGCTGTGGTGCCATTGAGCGTTATTGTTTACGTCAGATATGGGGCGAAATTTTGGGCTCGAATTAAAGTTCGCAGTATTATTAATTCATGAATGCCAACACAATACTTGCCTTAATTTCAGATGTATTACCTGGAAACTCATCATGGGTTGGTCGGAACATTTTGCAAATCATTGACTTCAGAAATTTGAGGTCATTCAAAGATACTCTAAGAAAAGAGATGATTATCATATATGCAAAATATACTTCAGGTTTATTAGTAGGAGTAATGTTTAGACATACATTGCTGGTAAAACTTTAGCCTTCAACTAGCATGTGTTTCTAAAAGTTTTTACACTAAAAAAGAATAATCAAATCGATTAGCAACTACAGCTAGTTTTCCTTTTTGTTCACTTTATTATAACTTTCACTTGTAGTTGAATGAATCTAAGTCAAAGTATGGGAAATCTACTACTAAGCCAGAAAGTTATGATTATGCAAGTGGAGACAGAAGTGATGAAAAACTAAATACTTTTAAAGAAAAATTAAATGGTATGTTAACTGTTATCATAATTTTAATTTAAAGAGCAATATTCATTGTATAAGCAATATATATAACGAAAAAAAACGCCTTATTGAATGAAGTAAAATGAAATCAATTCTGATCTCCCTTTTAACTGATTGAACGGATATGTTCGGCCTTTGTTAAGATGAAGGGTATTGGGTTACAGTCTCAGTGGAAACACCATCACTCGCTGGGAATGCAGACACATTCATTTGACGAGTCGAAAATAGGACGAAATGCACAAGCTAGATTCCACTGCCAGTCACCATCCATCAAACTAGACTGCGGTTAATTAAATTCAAATTTCTTTCAAAGTTAGAGAAATAAAAGTGTAAGAAGCCTGTCTTTATAGAACATTATATATATATGCATAAAATGATCGATATAAAGTTGTGGGATTTTAACTATGTCAACTCGGATAACGAACAAACACCGGTTAAAAGAAGCCAAATTTTCAAAATCCCTAACTTTTTGAACAGTCTGTGTCTTGTAGGCTTCATATCACTACCAATTTTTCATTCCACAAATGTTATAAGGTGCATTGTTTCATGCTGTTTCAGCATACGGCATTTTTTTTAATATTGAAGTTGTGGGCGATATTATAAGCTTTAAGTTCTATCAGGATACGGGTCCCTGTAATATTTATTTCTAGCATTTACACATTCTCTACCTTAACTTTGAACAACTAAGTTTCATAGTCTAATTGATTGCTGTATCTGTCACAGAGTTCTCATGTAAACAAAACTCACCAATTTATCAAATATAGCCTGTTAGTTACGTGTCCCAACAGACTTATTACATTCATTCCACTTTTCCTGCAAATTATATACAATAATTCATCTGTTTTATGAATTTCTTACATTTGGTGAGAAATATAGTCTATTCGAACGAAAATGATGATGAATGGTTAAATTGGAAGTTTTAAAATTACTGTCTAGGTGTCTGATGATTGAGACAGTGTGCCCAACTATTAAAAACGTCTGTTTTTTATTTATTTATTTTATTTTTGATTACAGCTTGATCCCACACTGTATTTTTGGTACAAGTATGGAATTTTCAGCAGGCCGACCATAGATATCAGGTGTGAGTCGGTAGGGGATCGAACCCCGGACCATGTGCATGGTCGGCGAGAGTCCTAACCGCTGTGCCACCGACGCACCCTTAGTAATTAACGTATCTAGCACCAATGGCTATTATCTTTAGATGTTGTGTTGACGAAGTATATCTAACTGTCTGTTATTTAAAATTTAACGACTGTATTTGCAAATTAAAGTCGATTTTGTAAATACAAATATTTTGACAGACAAATAGGTGTAATACGCGAAAAATTCCAGTTTTAGTGACACAAGCTTCTTATATTATTTAGGTTTGAAAAAAGCCAATATCTTACTACAAGGTAATGCTCAACACTGTTTATTGTTTGAATTTCCATTTAACTGATAAACCCTAATAAACGCCAGATACAATTCTAATGTTTACCTACTTTTCTTATTAAATTTAGCAACTAAAGTAGATTTGGATATGGTTCAAAATGCTATACCAAAACAAAGGATCATTGATTATACAGGTGTGTAATTTTGGTGTTTTAATATTAATTAAGACACACTTTTCGAATAATATCAATGGATATCATTTCAGTTAGCATATGAGTTTACTGGTTTGCCTCATTATCAAAATATTCTTGACCTGAAACTTCTTGAACCAAATTTCGACAAAATCTTACTGATTAGCGTTTCTCTAAAATGCTTAACTTTATGGTTTTTTGCATGTTTTATTCCAGAGTGAGCACTGTATTCGTCTTTTTGCTGATGAAACAGCTTCATATTATTTAAAGTGACTTTAAAATACTGAAAAATTGTGTATCTTAAAATATTCTGCGACATTTATTGTGGAATAGTTTCTCAAAACCATTTGCTCTTATAAAATTGGCAGTTAATGCTGGTGGGGACTATTTTAATACAACCTAGGCAAAATCATGATGGGCTTGTCCAGCGGAGGTAGGGAATAAAGGTGTTTCGGATCTCAGAGATAAGACTTTTAGCCGAATTGTAGTTTTCTTGTCCCATTTGATGTGAGAGTTTGTCAAGACTACGAGAATACATTTTATATTTGTTTTGACGAGTTTGACCATGGATTGATATCAGTTAGAGAACCATTGAAAACCAGAACCGGAGTACTGGACAGCTGCTCCATCCCAGTTTGTGACCCATCGTCAGTGCGTACCCACTGGGGTTCGAACCCATAAGCCTTTGGGTCGGGTCCCAATGGCCGAATGGTTTACTAGCTTGCCTTGTAACCAGAATGTCCTGGGCTCAAAACCCAGTGGGGGAGGATACTACCGATGATTCCCTTACTAGGTAGGATGAAACAGTCGTCCCGTACTCCAGTGCTGGTTTTTAATGCTTCTCTAACTGATATCAATCCATGGGCAAACTCGTAAAAATAAATCAAATCCTTACAAACCAACTGTTGAATATTTTATATTGTTGATTATTGGTTTTTTAATGTTTGTTGGATAGTTTGTTTTTGCCTGTATATGTTAATTATTGAAACGAACATCTTATGACTGATAATTCACTATGTTAAACGGCGATATTGTTGTCAGTTGATTTCTAACTGTTTACCGTTAATAAAAACGTTTCTATAATTTTTATTTGTTGTGACTACTTAGTCTGTCAGTTAACTAATCAACTAAACCTTGCTAGCACAAAATTCCATTATTTAAAAAAAAAATAATATGTATCCTATTTATCACATAAAGAAATTAACAGTCCATACAACCTTATTATTCCTTAAAGACTGAGGTGATTACGCTTCATTTGAATCAGAATCATAATAAGGCAGCAGATTATAGAACCAAGAAATCTGTTAGTCGCTTACAAAATCATTCTGTCTAAGTTGCAAACTTTTATAGAATATTAAACATATATTAAGGTTAGTGTAAACTATAAATGGTTGACACATTATAAAGGTAATGATGGAGTAAAATAAACTAAGTGAAAAGAAATAAGAAAGGCATAATATGACATGTGTCATGGATTGTTATATCCCAGCTGACCTTTTGATAGACCAGAGTAAACAAACTGGATAAATAAGCTTCTTTTGTAGACATAGGTCAGGTTTATTTTTATTAATCTCTGTAGCTTCCGCTATAGCTAAGAGACGTTATCGTTTGCCTTTAGGCAGATTGTTTGGTACTCAATATATAACCGTAAATGGCCCATCTATTTTGATGTAGGGTTCACTATCCACTAGATGGCTACACTTTTTCCAATCCAAACAGGAATATGTTCACGAGCGCGTAAAGATTAAACTCCTCTGAGCACATTTATCCTCTTTGTTTAACCTGGCCTACTATAAGGTTAGCAGGGATATAATCATTCGTATTTTCATGTCATATAATACCTTTCTTATTTCTCTTCACCTAGTTGTCTTTGCTCCACCATTACCTTTATTACGTGTCAAACATTTTTAATTCTCACTAAGCTTATTATATCTCTAGTATTTTATTACAGTTCACAATTTAAACTCTTTATTATATCGCTACACTTAATATCTGTCAGCCTTTGAACTTTCATTCTGTCTCATTTGCAAAGAATCGATAAATATTTAACGAATACTTCACATAAATGCATCCCTAGCCATAAAAATGAAATGTAACCAATTCAGGTATACTGCCATGATGAAAGCGTGGATTATAACGCCCTTATCAGGTCAAGACTTGAAATTAACACCTCTTTCTTTTACGTGATCTAATAGCCTGTATCCGAAGATTAGCTTGCCTCAGCTTGGTCAATAATAAAAGTTTGATTAGAAAGTACAGAATTGTTTGACAGTATATAAAAAATAATTTAGACTGAGAACGTTTTCTTCTTTTTGAGAGGTTTATTGTAATCAATATTTTTAAACAGTATGACACCAAAATCCTGAAGTTTGCACTATTTCAGCCAACAGATTAGATCGGTCATTACTGCTTAACACATTCTGAATACACATCATTTCCAGATTGAAGAAGGTGTGTCTATGTTGCTGTCACAGTACCTAGTAAATATTTCACATCAATTAAAGATTATTATTTTCTTTAATTCCCAGAAGAACATAGGGCTTCTGCCACGCGTTTCCATTGCCTTCGGTGCTCTGCTAGAGTTTTCACCTGGCTCCAAGTCTGCCCACATGTTTTCATCTCCTCTTCACATCACTTCCTCCAAGTCACCCTTGCACTGACGACCAACTCGCCACTTCCCTTTCGAGTTCCACTCGAGTGATGGCCTGGCGTGTGATGTCACTTGATGGTTTTACCAGAGTATCGCCAATCCACCTGCATTTAATCCCACCTATTTGTTTCACAATCGGTTCCTGGTTGGTTCGCTCATTGCCAGAGATCCCTGCTGCTGATCTTTTCTGGCCAGCCATCTAATCTTGAGTATTGAGCGAAAACAGCTGTTATGGAAGGTCTGAAGTTTGTTTGAGATGCTCTTTATGACGCGCAGTGGAAGTCTCTGATCCGTATAGCAGCACTAACTTCACATTGGAGTTGAAAATCCGGATCTTATTTTTGATGCTGAGTGCTGTTGATCTCCACACAGACTTAAGAGTAAGGAAAGCTGTCTTGCTTTCCTATCCTCGCTTCTTTGATATCCTCGTCAGTTCCGTCACCTGTAGTTGAAACGATGCTTCCCAGGTAGGCAGGTGAAGGAGGTTGTTTCTTTCAGGTTCCTCCCATTTATGCTGGCTGATTGTTGTCTGTTGTTGTTGCTGTTGCTGTTGGCCAGGAATCTTCATCACCTCTGTTTTATCTATGTTCACTTGAAGTCCTATCTATGATGCTTCTTCTGCCAACTTGTTGCTTTTCACTTGCATATCTTTCAGTTTTTGGGAAATCAAACATATATCATTGGCGAAATCCGGATCCTCCAAGTTTTTTGTGTGGGTCCATTTAATGCCTGTTTCCTCATTGCCGGTTGTCTATCGTATTATCGAATCTACTGCAGTCAGGAAAATCATTGGCGATAGTAGACAGCCTTGTCTTACTCCCATCCTCACTTCGAAGGCTTCCGTAAGTTTCCCGTTGTGGATTACTCGGCAAATTAAAGATTATAACGTAAAGTTATTTGTTGAATGAAATAACTGACCAACTTTGTGATAAATTGGTTCACCTAACTCATTGTGGAGATTTTATCAAGTGTTCCTCTCTAAATTTTTTAAGTTACACTTAATTCGTTCAACATAAACAATAATCGCAAGCAATGACTTAACCGAGGATAAATCATATTCAGTCAAACAGACAAAGTGCCGACGTGTGTAATCTAGTAAGTTTTTTAATTATTATTAGAAGAATACTCACTATCATGTTTATAACACTCAACTGGAGTTGTGAACAACTGCCGAAATAATAAATTCATTTGTAACCCTAAGAAACTTTATTAATAATAAAATGAAAAGAAAGAGAGATTAATATAAAGAAGAGGTTTTAAATCATTCATATAATTGTTCATAACATTTTACAACTAGATAATGCAATTCACACGAATGCCTCCAACAGTACATCACATTCAAGTACTATTAATAAACTGGAACAACGTTTAGCCCATCTAGAGATGAATATGCACAAGGCAAGTGAAGAGAAACAAAGTTTACGGAATAAAAATGAACAACTGACTGATCTACTCAGAAGGATGACAGAACAAAATCAACGCCTTACCAAGGTAAATACTTAGTTGAATTTTATTTTGTATTATCACTACTATTGTGCCTTTTTTGTTCACTGACATAACAAAAGGACTTGAAACTTACTGAGAGTTAATTTGAATTTCTACAGTTAATTTCTACTACCGAATATTATAGACTGAATGTTTCCTAATGTCGTAGCGTTGGAAAAAACTGATGACTTATGCGACTGAGGAAAAAATACTTTTATTGTCACTCCTAAAAGAATCAAAAGGTAATATGGTCTTATGGGCTGCCTAACATGCTTTAAGATTGTGTACATTTTTATTCAAACTGTGCTAGGAGTGAAATTAGTGCATCAGTGGGTAAGCGCCAACCACTCATGACGTGCAGGGTTCAATCCCCGGCTTACACTCTCGTTTACCTCGCTAAGCTGGTAATAACAGCGGTAAAGAGGAAAGGTAGGGCATGAAGCTAGCAACCTCGCCCCTTAAAAATAAACACCACTGCTACCGAAAACTCATAGTTTTAGCATGAAGCCCTATGTTCCACTGGAACGTAAAGCAATAAAAAAAGGAGGAAAATTACACCCTACAATTTAAATGCAGTAGTATAGTGTTTGAGAAAAGACTCAACTTTTGAAGCTGAAAGCAAGAAAAGTGTAGAAATATAAAAATAATTTTTGATATTTTAACAATCGACAAATGAAATGAAGCTCTATTCTCACATAGAAAAGATTTCAACGTATACTAAGTCCACCAAACATTAAGTTTGTCGGAATCCGTCTTAAACTGGGACTAATCAGTTCTTCATTGCTCTGCAGTTTTCAACAGTTTTTTTAAATGATATTCGTTCGTGATAATGTCTGCATAGGAACCATGCCTTTCTTTATTTTCTCTCAAAATATTAAAATGGTCAATAAACACAATCTTTTACCTGCTATTACCTGATCATTTTCAAGGAAGCCGTAGAATAAGATAAATGAAGTCAGAATACTCTCAACAGGTATAAGAACTTGATGTTGATGCCTTTAATTTATACTTTTATCACCATGGAACATGTACACGGATAATATTTAATACAGAAATATGTTTTTCAGAAAAATAACCATGCTTTTACTGACATAAATCTAAAGAGATTTATTAAATGAAACAAGCTTTTTGTATTCAAAGACTTAGCTTCGGTTGTTAATAGCTTGATATCAAGTTATGTGGATGAATAACATTTGATTGTGAATACAAAGTGAGTTTACATCACACCGTCGCAGGAGAATAACACAGCGAAACAAATAGCAGAGTGATAAAAATTTGTAACATACATGTACACGGTATCATAAAAAGTTCTAGATTCCGGAAGGTTAGTAGGGGAATAAAATGTAACAGTAAACTGTGTCATGTAAGTAGTGATAACAGAACAGACTGAAGCAGATTTTTTATTTGAAGTCCATGAAATTATTCCAATTCGCTAACTTAGCCACAAATAAAAATAACAATTATTAAACTGCAGATAGTTTTTTTGTTCTACCTCTAGGTGATACTTGAAATGTTGAGACAGATGATTATGACAAGACTGCTGTCTTCATTGGAATATAATTTACAGCTGTAGCATTTTGGTCGGTGATGACCGGCGGTAAAATCCAGGATGGGCGTTTCGTCCTCTTTAGGACCCGTCATCTGAATATATCTGCCTCTTCAGTGACAGATTATGTTCCCAGTTAGACTTAAAAACTTCACCTATCGTCGCAAACGTCAAAGCATCACCTACCGGGCAAATAATTGCTGATACTCATTGCAAAAGAGGTGACTGTCACGGCTCACTGACCTGGAGGATAATACACTAGCATTTATAGTGGCGGGCTCAAGGTTCGAGTCTCAACAAGAACATTATCTCCCACTAAAGGGGCAAGCACATCCGGATAATGAGTCCTAAAAAGGGTGAAAGACTCATCTTTGATTCTGCCACCCTTCTCTACCGACCAAAATAACATCATGGTGATGTTCAAAAAGACTGAGCATTTTCGTACAACATAATCAATCAGCGGTAAATGCAAATAAACCTAAAAACAAATGAAACTGTTACAGTTCAACTTAATGAGTTCATGTAATTATTCTGGTTGATAAACATGTCCAAGATTACTTGATATATCTTGGGATGAACTTTATTTTTCCATTTGGACTTTTAAAAATGCACAAAGTCTCATGTATTTTAGTTAATTTCGAATAATTTCACAAATATTCGCTGAAAGAAATTCAGGTAAATTTGACATTGATGAAGAATTTTTGCACAACTAACTGCTCACTTAATCCTTTACAACTAATCTAGGCCACTTTTTTTAATAAGAATTATATGCTATTTCATGTAAGTAGCTATGTTAGTATGTAATTCCACAGGAAATTGCATTACTCCGAACTCAGTCTAACGCAAAATTCGGGATTCATACCAGTAAAGCTTTCTAAAGTGAAATTAGATAGCTATCTATTGCTGCTTGGATTGTAACCTTCTACCTACTTGTTACCTGTTCATGAAAAAATCTATCCATAAATATTAATTAATGTTGAGTTTTAGAAGAAATTTAGCCATATTTGTTATAAGTTCAATTTGTTCTTAAAGGGTCAAGCTGAACTTTAAGCAACAGTAAGTACCCGTGGAGTGCGACTGTAACCAATGACCTTGAAAAGTTCAGTTAGCAAGTTAATGGAACCTGGTAAATAATTTTGTAATCATGAATTAATTGTACTTAATGAGGTGTTTTGTTGTTAAATGGAATATCTTGCAAATTTCAGGTTAGGTTTCGGGAAGATTAAGTTGAAGTTTAGGCTAAGGACAGGTTAGGGTTAGGTTAACCTAATGAGGTCGACGTTAAGGTTGGTTCGAGTTAGATTTGGGTTGGCATAGGGATATTTTCACTTTAGAGTTAGGTCAAAGAAAGATTAGGGTTACTGTTAGACTCAGAAGGCTAGATAATTACACGCACAGAATGTGGTTAAATTACTCTGTTAATACTCCAATCATAAAACGGTAGAGAAAAGTTTCCTGTCTGTCAGTTTCATGCCTTTTAATTCATCATTATCTTTATGAATATGTGTATTTAATGCTCAACAGTCGTCTTTACTATGTGGTTGGTGAGTTCAATGTTATTTGTCCGTTGGCACTTACTGGTGCTTAAAGTTTAACTTGACCCTTAGATGATCCTACTTCCATCAATTTTTTACAAGAAATAAACAACCTCTACTAGTAGAAAATTTCCATTGATAACCATCTTTGTGTGTTATTTTGTCAAAAATCTTTCGGCGAAAATCCACTTTAATTTTTACATTATAAATTTTAGTTTTATGAACTGTAATAATGTCTATCACATCATTTTATACAGTACTCCCAGGTTTTCCAGTGGTTCTCTAACTGATGTCAGCTCATGATTAAATCCTCCATACAATCAAACCAAATCCCTACAAAACCAACACTTGACAATCATGAAATTGTTTTTATTTTCTAAAAATTACAACAATTCAGTAAACAGAAAGAATGGAATACTTTCATAGTACAAAACGGATTCAGTTTAAAAAAAATAAGGTGTTTTCATGGTCTTCAGTTCGCATTCGATTCCCTGCTAATACATTTCCAAACATCATTTGACTGGTAGTAAACCTGAAAAAGAGAGATGGTTGGAAGTGTGACTAACAAAGTCAATCCTTAAGGGAGCATCGCTGCTGAAACTTGGAAGCTCGGCTTCAAGCCATGAATGGTTCCATATTACCTATGTTTATACAAAATATCAAAAATATTGACATGTATCCATCCGTATTCCCTATTTAAAATGCATCCACATTATTATATTAAATAGTCACTTACGAGATAATATTATTTAGGATGGTGAACTGCTAAAGAAAAACGATTTCGTCTTCCTTTCTTTATCGAAAAACGACAAATTTTTCCTCCTATTTTTATCATCTTTTCAAGTTATTTGCTGTATTTAACAGATTGGTCATCAGATGGTTGGAGGTAGTTGACAGGAAGCCTTGCTCGACCTAGGTTTCGTGTTTGGTCGGCACTCATCAGCAAGGCGTATATGCAACCTCGAAGGAACTCCTGTCTCTTCTGAGATTCGGATTCGCATCACCCATTGAGTGCTGCAGTCACAAACATGACCACTTAACTATTCGGGCTAGCGATCTGCCTCCTGTAGGACTGTATTAGATGCTTTGATTGGACGCTAGTAACTAGTGTGATGTGTCTAGTCCTTTGTTTGGTACAGACTGAATTCTATCGGTCAGGTTTGCAATGTGGCCACCATTCTAGGTAGCTCGCCATCACGGTGCACTGTGAATTGTTGGTGTCCACATTGCAAACTTGATTGACAGAATTCGGTCTGCACCATAGACTAAGCACACACTCATTACACTAGTTGCTTACTAGCGCCCAATCAAAAAGACTAGTTATTAAGTATAACACACAGGATTAAATACAAGTTCAATTAGAAGCTGGTGCGTTTGAAAACCTAGTAATATACCAAATTTGATAGGCTTCCAAACTTTAGTCAGTTTTCAGTTTCGGAAATAGATGATTAAATGTTCTTTAAGTGTTTTTCTGGAATATGCTTTTTCATTTGTTATAAATATACTTTAACGATTTAATTAAATCTATACTGAGTAACAGAAAAAATGGGATAAAAAGTTTCCGATATAATCAGTACATAAATAGTAAAAGAGTAATAGTCTTTTAGCCTTTTTGGTAAACGAAAATAGGCGTTACTTTTACTTTTCAGTTCACTCTTAGGATACAGACTTTCAAGGTAATTGTTCATTTGTAATCTAAATATAATGTATTCATATTAAACAAACTATAATTTATTCAGCTAATAGCTATACACTAGTAGTGAAAGTTTTGATAAGTCAGAATATTCTGTGTGGAAATTATGTGACTATGTTCTTTCTTATGTTCAAGTTATCACATTTCCAGTATTAAATGTTTCATGCCATACTTATCGTACACTTTAAAAGTTTACGAAAAATACCTAATGCATTATAGTGGTTAAGTCACCAAATAAGGGATAAATGCATTGAAATCATTCTTGTACTTTCCTTACATTCCGTGAGGTATATGGTGCTTCAAGTTTTGGGCTATTAAGTTTCAGTGTCGGTGGTGGTGTTTTTTTCGGGATGGGGTTCCCAGTTGCACTCCAGACCTACCCTCTTATCCGGATTTGCTATGAACTGGGTGAAGATTAGAAGTGAAATGACTGGCAGTCGAACCCGGGATCTGGTGTAACGGGATAGCGAAGAAACACATTTGTGTATAATCCGCGTTGACTGAGGTGAACTTGTGAGTCACTGCGCAAAAACATATTATAATTGCATTGTTATATCTGAAGGATAGTTGCTGGTTGCTGATGAAGATTCCTGGGAAATACCAACAGTAACAGCCAGCATAAATGAGAGGAACCTGAAAGAAACAACCTCCTTCACCTGCCTACCTGGGAAGCATCGTTTCAACTGCAGGCTGACGGAACTGACGAGGATATCAAAGAAGCGAGGATAGGAAAGCAAGACAGGCTTTCCTTACTCTTAAGTCTGTGTGAAGATCAACGGCACTCAGCATCAAAAATTAGATCCGGATTTTCATATCCAATGTGAAGTTAGCGCTGCTATACGGATCAGAGAATTGGGGCGTCATAAAGAGCATCTCAAACAAACTACAGACCTTCCATAACAGCTGTTTTCGCTCAATACTCAAGATTAGATGGCTGGCCAGAAAAGATCAGCAGCAGGGATCTCTGGCAATGAGCGAACCAACCAGGTACCGATTGTGAAACAAATAGGCAGGAAGAAATGGAGTAAGATGGATTGGCGATACTCTGGTAAAACCATCAAGTGACATCACACGCCAGGCCATCACTCGAGTGGAACTCGAAAGGGAAGCGGCGAGTTGGTCGTCAGTGCAAGGGTGATTGGAGGAGGTGATGTGAAGAGGAGATGAAAACATGTGGGCAGACTTGGAGCCAGGTGAAAACTCTAGCAGAGCACCGAAGGCAATGGAAACGCGTGGCAGAAGCCCTATGTTCCTCTAGGAATTAAAGATAATAATAATACCTGTTTATCTTTCTACAAGGGAAGCTTTAGTGGCAAGTGTTGAGATGGTATTTCACTGTTTTGTTTTATATTTTTGTGTCTATTCATGAAAACATTTTGATATTATTAATAACAACAACAATAAAGTGTATTTAAATCTTATCTTAATATATTTTATCGTTTAGAATTTTGTGAAAAAGTTTTTTTTCTATGAGGATCCTATTTTCAGCATCTTTGTAGAACTTGCGTTATTAATCTGTCAAATATTATATATATATTCGTATTAAGCAGATATTGTTATTAATCAATGAAGAATTTCCTTAATAATTTTTTTCCCGTTTAACTTCACTACTTTCCTAGGAACTTGATTTTCGTGTACTCGAATCTGCGACATCATTCAGGTCACAAAATTACCCCTTTCAAAGAACAGTTGACAACTCATATGAAAATAGTCGTAACACCCAGTACTATTCACCTGAACAAGCAAAAGTGAATAATGATGAGAATATTTGGAATGAAGAGAAGTTCAAAGATGATTATAAAAGTATTAGAAAATTAAAAGAGGATGATGATGATGATCATGGAGACAAAAGAGTTAAAAAGTTAGAATATATTAATCGTTTTTAAAAAAATATTCAATATCCTCATCTACCATGTTCCATGTTTTTCCCTCTTTATCACATACTGATAGAGTTTTTTTTCAGTAGACTGTAATTTTATAGAAAGTCACCTCAGCTACATAAAATAAAAATGTAAACAAGTGTATAACCAATCGATAAATACTGTCATCCCAACAGAAATCCTAAAAGAATTTTTATTAAGGTGTACCATGAATGTAAATCTTAAATTTGACGATACTCTTCACAGATAAGTGAACGGGTTGACGATGGGCTCCCCATCGGGTCCCATGTTGGCAAATTCTTTTCTAAATAAACTAGGAAACGGTCCTTCTCACAAACTTATGAGAAAATTTTCATTTTGTTACCAGAATATATGTAATAATGATTCGGATAGGAACACAATGATAACTGATTTCAATGAAGTACATTCTGCTATGCAATCTAAGTGCGAAGAAGAAACCCAAAACAGAATTATCTTCTTAGATATCCTTCTTACAAGAAAACCAGGTGATAGTTTAAAGAGAAATTTGCATAGCGAAGGCACGTGGACAGGACAATACCTTGGCTCTTCTACAGTATTAAAGAAATTTAGTAAGAACCCGCAGCCACAGGGTTAGAGCTATATGCTCAGAAGAAGTAGTTGAAGATGAATTCGACAATGTATATGATACCTTGATTGAAATGGCTATCCTGAACAATTTATCAAAAAACGCATGACAAAGAAAGCGGAAAAGGACTACACACTATCTGTAAACAAGAAGCCACTTTATATACGACTACAAATCAAGGGCGATATACCAAGTGAGATAATTATGAGGAGATTAGGAAAATCATTTCGAAGAACCTTTAATGCTAGCCAACTACATGAATTATTCTCTACACGACCAGTGGTGATTACTCGATTGAAAGATGAAGTACCTAGACTAGCCACTTCCAATTGTATCTACCAATTCATCTGCGCTTGTGGAGTGAGTTATATTGGCCGTTGCTCTTGGAACTTGATTTTTCGTGCTCACTCGGGAACACTTACCAGTGTGGTTAAGCGAAAGTGCAGTAAAAACCATCAACAGTTAGACCACCTAGTTCAAACCGGCCACAAAGCCAGCATTAAAGTATCCTTCTCTATCATATATCGAGTACCAAATTAATTGCCAAAAACACCCAGGTGTTGCAGCAAAGGTCATTTGCGATCCGTGTGAAACAACCAGTGATCTTTGTGCAGAAGAAGCGAGTTCAGCCAGCACTACTACTACCCTGGCCGGCCTTCAGTGGAGACTTTGAATTCATGAATTTATATTATTATTTTTCCTAATTTCTCTGACGTGCAGTGTGTATTGTTATGTTGATGCTATTGAACTGTAATCCACTGATATTATTATTATTGATTCGATGTTATTTAAACAACATTAACTTTGTTCATAATGCTAATTCATTCACTGTTATGCATACACATAACTGTAGAACCTGATGGTGAAGTTATCGAGAAGAGTATTCTTTTTTCAGTAAACTATATTTTGGAAATTTTAATGGGTATTTTTGCCAATTAGTTAAAATAAAAATGTCTTTTCTGTGTACTGCAGATTGAGCCCAACCGTTTGTCTGTGCTAAAGTCTTAGTTATTTTATAAGAAATACCCAAAGGTCAACATACTACTACGAAATACAAAAGATTCTAGGCGTGTGACAACATATTAACCACTATTGATGATTTTAACAGTCTTCTTAGTCGTCTAACTTGAAGAAACTCTTTGCTTATTTTCAAATTTGGTAAAATATTCTTAGCTTGTTTCATTTCACTGTATGATACAGATTTAAGGACAAATTTATTGCGATATTCTCAAACAGTGTGTGATTTTCTTCCTACTCAGAGTATTATGCTATCAAAATACCTGATATGTCATGAAATGAATTGCAGCTATATTTTCGAAACGATCTATCTCATTTTATGCAGAACTGTTAAGATATTTATCTGTGATAAATGCGAAGAATTAAATATGAATAAAGAATAAAATAATTCAATAAATTTCAGTGTTAATTGATGTCAGCAGAAGAACCATCGAAACTAAACAATGCTGAATAGCCACTTTGTCCCAGTTTGCAACTCTTTGTGGTAGCTACTTGTGATTATGTCGTCACCGAGCTATTAGGCGGGGTACCATTCACCCATGAATGGTAACTTTTATTTTTTCGTGACTTTGTAGCACTAACAGCAGGTATGACTTCTTGTTAAACATGCTCAACATCTTAATCGAGGGAATTCCTTCCTAATATTTCTATTTAGTTAAACTAAGCTTACAATAAAATGAAATGAACATAACAACCATTTACTTTATAAATACCAAACGACATATTATTAAAGTCTAATACTAATGAGTTAGAAAAATAAATTTGGGTTGTAATTTTATTCCACTGACTTCTTAGCTCTCCTATTCATATGAGCATGTTGAAACATACAAATTTATTAAAGAAATACATTTTTGGTTTTCTTCAGACTATACGATAGTGGAGATTCTGCAAACTCGGTGAATCATGGACTCGAGACAGCGTCAACAGTTCAATCGAATCGAATGATGAAATCATTCTACTGCACTCCTGAACATAATACACAAGGTTATAAGTCCGATACAGGTAGAACATTTTCTCCTGTCAGTGATAGTGCAATATTATTAACTAGTAAGTCGAATATATCATCAAGTGAGCTGAACCTGAATAAAAGCACACAAAGGCGTAATGGTACGTGCACATAATGCTTATATTATTTATCAGTGGTTATCAGCTTATACATGTTTTATTAATATTCTGTCAAACATGTGTTGAGTAGCTGAGCTTAGCTAATTATGCACGCAGCATATTGGATTGTATATATAGAGTCCAATGAAATGCTCAGAATCGGTCTGTGGTTTACTTTCCGGACTACAGACATGACCATTAGAGCTGAACAATCCAGACTGGTTTCAACTAATTTATTATCGTTGCCTTTGATTCAGTCACTTTGAGATGAATGAGAGGTTGAATACAAAACGTATGTCAACCTTAAAGGGTGGCTGACGCTTAACGGGAGTATACATTCAGTTCACCTAAGCCTTTTGTTAGCAGAGTTAGCACTAGTTTGAAAGAAGCTAAGAATAAGAAGTTGTATGGATCCCATCGATTCAAGAATCCATACACCATTGGTCTTATTCGTGGAAAGAAATGTAATTTAGTATATGATAAATGAAACTTACAGTTATAAACTTTTGGAAAGGTCTGCTGTAATTTTGGCAGCCACACCATAGAGTGGTGTTGGTTTGAACCTCAAAAGGAATATGAAGACCTTGCTGTTTACATACATCATTTTTATGTGTCAACAAGTGCAAAGAGAATGTCAGGTAGAGCTTCTACTGATCAACGCTTTACATCATCTTATTACTAACGTTTGAAAAACATTTCATTATTTACAACACTAACTTGGTGCAATGAGATCATTCAGAGGTGCGAGAAACTTAATAATAAAACAAGGTGTTGATAAGAGAAACTAAAAAGTTAGGAAACAACGAATTTGAATTAGGTAGACAGATTTATTAGAAACATTCAGAATGGCATTCTTTACTATATATCTTTCAGAAATAGATGGAAAAGAGAGGTGAAACCACTTGGATCACTGATTTCCATTTCATAGCATGCATGGTAACGCTCAAAACTACCTAGTCGTTCTCCATTCAGGCGTTATGACGCTCCACACAACATTGTGGCAGCATGACTACGTCTCTTTTACATGGAACCTCAGGTCTTACGGATGTTAAACAGGGCCACTGAGATTATAATTATGGAAAATGTCCAAACCACTAAGATCGGCGTCAGAATATAATATCGATTAGTGAAAGACGATCTTCATCACGTTCAAGCACGTACCGTGGGAGTCTGAAATTTCTTAATTGGTAATACCCCTTGATGAAAGCAGTTCAATGGAAACAGCTGTGGTATTACACACAGAGTTGCTGCACTTCCTCAGCATCCAGATGCCTGATTTCGAAGGGACAGAATAAGATTTCATGCGCCACAAGCAGAGAAATCGTGATCTTCAAAGGCTGAATTACCAAAGTGACGCCATAAATTGTGACTGAGGCTAATTTTTGATATGCATTTAAAAATTTCGTCCGTCAAATCAATCTTAGCCATAACATAATTATATATATATATACTTTTCGGTAATCTCTAAGGGTTTATTTATGAAGGTGTGAAAATACACATTTCTGCCAGCACTGTACGCGCAGATGATGCAAAACATGTACCAAACATGCTAACACTCACTGCGAAACTATTACATCCGAACAAATTGATTTTTCTCCATGTCATTGTAAAGCGGTACCATCTTAACTGTGACAGCAGAGTAGTATTTGTCAGGGCCGTATATCTACTACTTCATTACGCTCACCTATTATCACAAATGTATTGAGAATATCATCAATGAGAAAGTTAAGAAGAAATGATGAAACTGAGCGACCCTCTCTAATCCTACCACTGAAATAAACATTATTGATAAGTAATGGTATTTTCCTACTTTCCTCAAGACATTCATTAGGCGGCTCGGTGTTTAACAACTATGGAACACAATAAATTAGAACATTGAACACTTATGCTGTGGGCTATCTGAACTGTTTTTCGAAGTCATCCATCTAGTGTTGCAAGGATTGTTGCAGGCTGATAACCGGTGTATCATAAGCCTCATGGACCGTTTCACTGAAGCTTCTCTTCTTGCCGCTGCTGTTGCAAGTGGCTTCACTCACTACTTTAATGGCACTTTGGAAGCTCAACAACTATTCGTTAATACTTTTTGGAAAGTTCCTGACAAGATTTACCTATAGTTTAATATCTGGCTACAGAAGCAGGCCGTTAACCTTTTTAGAGCTTTGTTTCTGATGACCATCAAAATCAGGAGAAACCAGTTATAAACCGAAACACTGTTGGAATAAAGAGGATTACTCAAGCAAGAGTTAATGTCCTGCGTGTGCCCACATCAGCGGTATTTGAAAGCAAAATGAACTTTTCAAGTTAAGCTTCCAGTAGCAAGATGAAGATAACAGGTGACAAACTTCACAGGCCTGCAAAAAATATCAATACTTACCAAGCATGACTTATAACATTTGTTAGTCTATAAATTTCATTATATTTTGTTATAGTAAAGCGAAATAAAACAACCTACTGAGTGATTAAATGTTCATCATATGTAGTAAAATATAATAAAGTTTCTCTTGTGACATAGGTTTTTGAAATACTTTTATTAAATTATTTCGAATTCAGATGTAAAACGTGAACTAAGTATTGGACTCTGGATGACTGTTTAGCCAGATGATAATCACTAGTCATTGAGGTAAAACCGAAGATTTTCATCTTCTAAGTTTTTGCGGTGCATCGTTGGCACAGTGGTTAGGACGCTCGACGACCATGCACATGGTCCGAGGTTCGATCCCCGACCACCGACGCACTCCTTTACATCGCTAAGCCAGAAATAATGCTGGTGAAGAGGAAGGGTTGGGCATGAGGCTAGCTACCCCATCCTGTAAATTCAAACACTGCTACAGAAATTTCAAACCACACTAGCTTGAGGCCATATGTTTCACTGGGGAACGTGAAGAAAAAAATTTTTTACATCTTTGAATACAAATACAATACACCATTATACCACTGGCAGTGCGACAGGTTCACTTACATCCAGAGGGATTTCGTCATGAAACAAAATTAGCTGCGAAACAATTTAAAACTCTAAAACGCATTCCAGTTTTTCAATCTTCCGAACATTAGTGACTGAATGAAAACTGGTATGAGGAAGTAAAAGTGTTAGTCAGATCAGAACATCCCGTCAACCCATGAAATTTCTGTCTCAAGATGCCAATCATATGAGGAAGTGTTACTTTCCTGGCTGGACATATGAACATATCATATATTAGTACATGGAATCTCTTGATGAACTGACACGAAATCGTCTATCTTCAAACATACAAGTAAATTCATCTATTTCATCTCATAGTTTCCCTTCCTATCACATTCACATTGTATTAGTATTACTGTATTTCTCCATATATCCTGTTTCCTAATGTAGCACCAAGAATAAATGTAGGCTTATGCAATTAATTAAAGCAAAATTCGGCCTTTTATCAAAAAGCTGAACATCTCTCATGGGAATTGTAATGGACACAAATTTCATCATGATTGAAGAGAATTGTGAAATTAATAATGTGGGGAATGAAACTAACTTACTGACTGGTATGGTGAATACCTTTGACTTTGGCAGGTATTTCAGATTAATTACCTGTCTGATTCCATTTTCTGGTCATGGAACTTGATGAACGCAGAAGCGAACGTTCATAATTTGTTCAAATAAAAACTCGTATGAAATTTCACAAAGTTACTGACATCTTCGCCAAAATGTTGTCAAGTATTTTAATTATTCCATATAGAATAACACCACCAAGATGTTTATCATTATTCTTCTGTTAAATTTTTATATCCAGATATGGATTACTTACAGACAAGTAAAGAAAACAAATATCCAAAGGAAGACAGAGATTTCAAACTGTCCAGTAAAATATCAGATAAGTTAACTTCATCGATAACTGTTACTACCGATCCACGTATAACAACAAGTAATTACAGGCAGTTCTTAAATTTTGACTATCAGAACACGAAAGATAATCTGCTAAAGGATGATATCCAATATACGCCTCAAATGAATATGACAAATTCTGAACTCAAATTTACAAATAAAGAATCAACAAATCATGATTCCAATGGTAGTGGTGGCAGCAATAATAATAGGAATATGAAATGGGAATGTCAACAGTATGAGCAACCATTGAAAAAATTATCCAAGGATAAAACTAATATCTACCCAGCAAATACATTGAAAGAAATAAAGAATTCAGAGTAAGCTTAGTAAAAGTCATCTACTCAACCACACATAGGACATTTTTCCTGACATATGATTTATTTATTCTAATTACATGCCCAGACATCGTCGAGGCATCTGTGCAAGAAGCAGACAGACACATCAACCTAACACTGAGCACTTGGGTCCAATCAACAGATGAGAAAATCTAAAATTCAATTAAATAATTAATATGACCTTTTGCACAAGAGGTGGCTCTCGTGGCTAAGTGGTCTAATGGGTAATGCCTTGGTGTTTGAAACTATGGGCACTGGGTTCGAGCCTTGGTGGGAAAATTATCACTCACTGAGGAATGCAGGTACATCCAACTGACGAGTCCCAAATGGGACGAAATGCACATCCTGGATTCCACTGGTAGTTACCATCCACCAATTAACGTAACTATATATATATATATATATATATATATATATAGTTTGAAAGTGAAATAAGAGACATCATTCCATCTTTCAGGTTTTTGATGGATATCTGACTTATTTTGGTCCACGGTAAAATTAACTTTGTAATCGACTTTAATCTAATAAGCACATTGGAATAATAGAGAAAACTCAACAGTCATTAATTCTTTAAGTGAATCTGTGTAATGTAAAACTTATTGTTATAGAAAAAGTTTATATAAGTAATTTTGTACGCATCTGTCGTTGGCAAACTGTCACACAGTGATAAACATTAAAAATTAAGACTTTTAGGAACCTTAACAACACTGAAAATAAATAATTCCAACTTTCCTTGCACAAAATGATCAGGGAATTAATCCCCTGACCAATGTTTATGTATTTATTAGACCGAATACTGATGAGAGTTCATTTAAATGAAAAAGTGAAATTAGCTTATAATGGTTAGTGCTGAAACATTTAATATTTTACTGTAATAAGTGTAACTGCTTAAAAAATTATATTTGAGGAAATTACTATTAAATAAAACTAATTGTGATTTGAGACTGTATTTATTGTAGTAATAATCCAGTCCTTATAATAAAGAAGTTTAGTATAAAATAAATGATATTTAACCTGTTAAACACTCGACAAAAGCATGGTTGAACACTTCTAGTACTATTCTCTTAATTATTTGCTAAGTGGAGAATCAGCATAAATCATAAGCTTGTTATGAATACTTGGATTTCGAAAACATCCTGCTTGGTTAAGTAAGAGACAAACGAAATCCTATTCTATCTCATCTCATGGATACAGAACACAAAGTTGATGTTAACAAGACTTCCAAAGTTGCCTACATCATACCGACTAATTTTAATCTTACCTTAAGAATTCTTCTACTACATATAACTGAGGCTGTTGGAATCTAAATTAAGAAGTCTAATCTATACATTAAAAAGAAATTGGTTCAGACACTTTACTTTGACCATCAAGGTTTTAATGATACTTAATTTGTTGTAGAAATCCTCTTAATTTTATCTGAAATTCTATCCTCGCCTAGATGACTAGCTTACTAGTTTTCTAGCCGATCTCAACCCCAGGTAAAGAGGAAGGTTAGTGCATGAGGCTAGCAACCCACACCACTAAACCTATCAAACTGCTTGAGAAACTTTAATGCACAAAAAGCACATTAAAAATACAAAATATTCGAATAACAGTCTTATTCTTCGCTCGAATCGAAATGGCGAAATGACGCAGGCTGATGAAAGCCTCCGAAAAGCCAGTGAGCTACTGTGTCTTCTCTCGATAGAAGAGAGTATAGGAATGGAGACGTGGAATATACGCACAATGTTTGAAATTTGAAAAGCTGCCCAGGTAGCCAAAGAGATGCGAAGATATTGCTTAGAAGTACTGGGTATCTGCGAAAGCAGATGGAATGGATATGGACTGACAACATTGTCAACGGCAGAGCCAGTAATCTACTCAGGTCTGGCCACCTAGACGACGACCATGAGCACGCTGAGGCAGTGGGTGGCTATTATAATTTGACCAGTGGCAGCCTTAGCCCTAATGCAGAGGAAGCCGAATTCATCCTGCAGGATAATGACAGCAAGATTCAACTCAAAAGAAAGGAAGGAAGGTAATTATCCAGAGCTACGCACAATGCTAGAAATAACGCGGAGAAAGAGAAGAAGGAAGACTTTTATAGACAACTAAAAACAGTGATGGACAGCATTTCAAATAGCGACATCAAAATCTTCATGGGGGACATGCATGCAAGCCAAACTGGGAGCATAAATTCAGGAAAAGAACTCGAGAGGCTCTCTGAGAAATGATTGAGAACAGAGAATTATTTGCAGACTTCAGCACCTTCAATGATCTGGTGATTGGAGGTAGCGTGTACAAGTACAAGGATATACACTTAAGTAACATGAACTTGGCTGACGGACATACCACAAACCAGATAGATTTGATCTCAATGTTGCACATGGAAGTGGAGACGCAGCCAGTCTTCTGGACACAAAGTCGAGAAGGGGGGCAGATGTGGGCTCAGACCATCATTGAGTTCTAGGAACATTCAAGGTGGAGCTGAAATCCATGAAAACAACTTAAGACAGGCCACTGTAATTCAAGTTCAGCAGTCAGAGACTGAAGGGCAAAATTACAAGGGATGCCTTCAATGCAGATCAGATCAGAGCAAACTCGGACACACTACGTGGCGTCACTGAGGATATCTGTGTGGAGAAACATTGCAACTAACTCTCTCAAGGCGATGTTCAAGGAGACGCGTATAACTGTTGTAGGAATAAAAAAGAGACAAGACAAGGAGCGGCTCTCAACAGCCACCTACGGGGAAGCTAAGAGAAGAGAGAGGGGAGAGGAGTATGGTGAAAGAGAATATACTCAATGCAAGGATGGACAACAGAAGTAGAAGTTGAGTTCAGTGTACATTGCACTGAATAAAGAAAGACGTGAAGAAGAAGACAAAAGGCGATTCTACGACACACTGGCTGGTAACTGAAGCAAAGCAGGCAGGCAGCAAGTAAAAGAGACCTAAGGACATTGTATCATATAACCAGGTCTGTATCCTGGAACAGATCAGTCGAGATGATAAAACCTATTAAAGACGCTCGAGGGAGCCTGATTAACAGGGAGTAGAAACAAATAAAACGGTGGGCTGATTACTTCAGAAGACTACTGAGTCGACCATCACCTGCAAACCTCTAAGAAATGCCACCAACATCGCTCACAGGAGTGCCTGCCAGGGGACACCAATCCTCCAAAAAAATCAGAAATCCTGAATTAGATGAGGCTAATAAAGTCCAGAAAGGCAGTGAGACCATACAGAATTCCTCGCAAAGCACTGAAAACGGACCAGAGTCTGCGGCAGATGTTCTCATGACATTACTGCAAAAGGTTTGGAAAGAAGGAAAGGTACATACTGACTAGTAGAAAGGCTACCTTGTGAAGCTACAAAGAAAGGTGACTTAGGCCTGTGAATCCTCCTGGAGAGAATAAAGGATGTACTGGATACACAACTCCGCCAGTCCAGAACAAGCTGGATTCAGAAAAGGCGAACTATGTGCTCATCGAACTACGACTTTACGCATAATCATCACAGAAAAACATAGAATGGCAGTCAAACCTCTACCTCAACTCCATCGACTTCGTAAAGGCCTTCACCAGAAAGCGTTGACCAAGAAGTAATTTGGAAACTACTTCAATACTACGGCGTGCAGTGTCCAAGTCTTTATCAACCTCATTCAAGGTGATCCACAGTGGAAAATTCAGTGAGGCATTCGAATTGAATACAAGAGTAAGACAGGGCCGTCTACTATCACTGATGGTATTCTTAAATGTGATGGACTGGATAATGGATCAGACTGTCAGGAATACGCTTGGAGAAGAAGACTCAAAAAGATTTGGATTTCGCCCATAATATACGTCTCATAGACTTGCAGGCGAAAACCAACAAACTGACAAAAGGGGCGGGTGGCGAAGACAGAACTGCAGGTGGTCACAGAGAAGATGGAGGTGATGAAGATAGCCAACGAACCGTAACAACAACCAGCACCAATCACCATCAATGGGAGATATTTAACAAAGGTTACCTCCTTCACTTATCTAGGAGGCGTCGTTTCAACCAAAGGCGGATGGCACTGATGACAATGTCAAGGGAAGCCAGGATAGGGAAGACAAGATACACCTTCGTCAAACTGAAACCAGTTTGTAAATCTTCTGCACTCAACCTGCATTAAGAACAAGATTCGGATTTTCAACATAAATGCGAAATCATTCTTTTTTTACGGTTTAGAAACTTGACCTCCATCCAAAAAGATTTCCAACAGGTTGCCGACTATCATCAACAGCTGCCTTCTCTAGTTCCACAGTGAAGACAAAATGTTCAGAAAGAATCAGCAACTAGAAATTATGGGAACGAACCAACCAACGGCCGATCGGTCAACAAATATGTAGGAGAAAATGGAGATGCATTGGGCATATACTGAGGAGACCGTCGAATGATATCGCCCGCAATATAGGCTATTGCTCGAATGGAATCCCAATGGGAACTGACAAGTGGATCGTTGGTGCGAGGTTGACATGAAGGGGATCATGGGGCGAGGAAGAGATGAGAGAGTCTTGGCAATTGTGGACCCAGCTAAAGAGGATTGCAGAAAACAGAAAAAAGTGGAGATGTTTCTTCAAGTATTGATTTTTGTAGGGATTTAGTTTGATTGGACTCCTAGTGGCTTAATGATGTACGAGTTCGCCTGGTTACCAGAAGATCCTAGGCTCGAACCCTGGCGGTGGTTGCGCACTGCCGAAGAGTTCCAAACTACGGCGAAACAGCTGGCTGTCCAGTACTCCCTTCAGGTTTTCCGATGGTTCTCTAAATAATGTCACGACTCCACTCGGAACGCAAGGGAATAATAATAATTCTAAAATATTCTGTGTATGTAAATATATACATATGCATATAATTGTAGAGCAGGAAGAGGAAATTATCGAAAAGAATATTCTCTGCTCATATTTTATTTTAGTGTTTAATTTAGTTGTACTTTTTTATTATCACCGTCATCAGTTAGGAAAATGAGAAACACATGGTTAAATCGTGTCTATTCCCCTGTTTAAAAAAAAATTAAGGTTTAACAATGTAATAACTATTGAACAGAAATATTTCTTGATGAATAAACATTTGTAATAAACTAGAGTTATACAGAAATAAAGGCTTATGCACTTCCACTATTCACGTGAATGTATAGTTATTATTTAGAATTTTTAAAATAATCTCAGTTTTGTACTTTAATAATTTAGCTACATAAACTAACGTCTCATATGGTCATATGAATAATGTCACATAAAACTTTCAGTATAATGTCACGCTTAAATATATAATTTCTTTTCATAGAAAAAGGGAGTATATGTAGTAAAGTCTGCTTTCAATTTTTCGTCGTTTATACTATTTTCCTCCAAACAGATGAATGTTCTGTTTATTTCCACTTAGTTATTGTAACGTTATGTGAATAGTTTCTAATTAAAACTAGATTGAAATGATGAAAGATTTTCAGTACAAGGTTGAACGCCTAATATATTTGAATCGAAAGTATACTTCATTGGCTACAAAAAAACAAGAATAAGCAGATGACTGCATTACTGTTCTTGAGTTTGTTGAACATTTGTACTTATTTCATATTATTATTCTTCCATTTCGCTTCTTTTTCTAAAATGAATGATTCAACTACATTTTCATACTATCCCACAGTAAAAGATTTTGAAATAAAACACTCAACCTGCGAAAAACATGCTGTTTAATGGCGATTCAGCATATATAAATATATATATATATGAAAAAAGGCGTTCAGTGAAGTTACTCCTTTGGATGATAACATTCTCAGTCGCATATTTATAGTAAATTTTCTTAACACTAGAATGAATATATCCAAAGATTTGTCACTGTAAAGAAGAAAAAGTCTCTCTGAAGGTCTGTTCTGCAATACCTGATCGAATCAGGACACCGAACAAACCCACAAAGTAACTTCAAAATCATCTACAGAATATGTGGGAATCTTACTAGTAATATACGAATCAAACTTTTTCAAACCGCAGAATCAATGGCAGTTAGCATGCTACAACCTGAACTTTGCATACAAAAGAAGCTTGTTCAGTCAATAAATCTACAACGGACTTGACTTATATATGTCCAAACGAAGTTCTCTTTTAACGGTTTGAAAAGTTTGGGCATTGGGTATATGATATTCATTCATTGGGAAATACAAAAACCTCTATTATAATGGACTTGACTTATCTTAACACTAAATAAGTAATTTTTGTTTCGTTTTTCTTCTGCTGTTGTTAACTTGACTTTAGTTCATTTGTAATTTTAGTTGAGCTCTACTGAACCCCATCAATTAGATTGCGTCAGCCAACTAGCTCATTTAATCTTACTTTATTTTCTAACCCTTTAACAAAATTTGTTATCTAAAATTTAAAATTTTAATGATAAATCTTTAGAAATATTCACTTTGTTTTTAAGAAAATTTACTATAAACATGCGATTGTGTAGCTTGAGAATGTTATCGTCGAAAACAGTAACTCTTTGCTGAACACCTTTTCTTTTATATGACTCAGTGGGAATATATATATACATGTATTTCAGGTTCCCTATCAAGATTTCAGCTGGTGCTATGTGTATGTGCACAAAACATGTACAAGTTTATTTCATCTGAGATTTGTCAGCATCTGCTTATGAAACTTATAGAGTTCCTTATGTTTTATATGTCTATAAAAATCGATACCACGTCTGATGAATATTTCACTGGATGAAAACCAATTTATTGGTCTAGTTTTAATTACTGGTAATAGTATATCAGCTAGGATTGTCATGTAATCGGGAATTTAAGTGACACAGTACTTCAAACCTCTACTAATGTCTTATGATGTAGTACAACGCAGCACTATGACATATAACTTCATTATTACACTACATATCTAGTCAGTGGCGCCTGAATAACACTAATGAACAGACAAAGAAATTGCCTTTGTATACTGATTGAGTTGTACATAATTTAGATACATATTCGGGCAAACTGTGACTTGAGAATCTTGGTAAGTGTAGTCTCTACGTGTGGCTGTAAAGTATGTTTTGCAGTGATGAATGTCATTTTCTACTTATCTGAGTTCCTTTATTTTCACTATGATTTCTAAATTTTTAAAACTAGGCATAAACAGGCATTTCTTGTATTATTCTGAATAAAAAAGAAGAGCAGTAGATGGTATAAGCAAAATAGACTATAAGGTAAAAATGACCTCATAGTAAAATGCACTTCTACTACTACCTGAAGCAATCAATAATTTGAATTATATGCCTATTTAATATGACTGTCTTTATAGTAAGATTATTGAGATGTATGTTGATAAGTAATATTTATGAAGGATTTTTATATACGCTAAAATTTTACAGGTTAATTTATGTGAACTTTTAGCTTATATTAGAATAATTCAAAAGGCTATTACACTATTTTGCCTTATAAACTGTAATTATCAATGTATGCTAACATACATGTGCATTTATGGTATAGACACATTTTTATAAAGTAGTAGAATCCTTTGAGAATCTGTCTTACTAAAAATGAATAAAATTGTGTTTGATTATAGGATTTCATAATGAGCTGATATCGGTTATAGAACTATTGGAAAACTAAGAGGGAGCGCTGGACAGCTAGCTGTTTCGTCCTAGTTTTGAACTCTTCACTAGTACGCAACCACCGTCAGGGTTCGAACCCTGGAACTTTTGGTAACAAGGCGATCTTACAGACCATTAAGCCACTAAGACCCGACCCAATGACCAGCCAATTCATGACAAAGCGCAACCAGTAACCGTTGTCTTCGGCAAGTATTTGTCCTCGCGCCCGACCTGCTGTACCCTACTGATCATGACTTCTTGGGTCACTAAAACCTCTGGTAACCACCTACCTGAATAGGGTCAATCGCCAGTGAGCATCTCATTGATATTCAAGTATTGGTTTGTAGGGATTGCAGGGATCCCTACAAATGAATTCTTGAAAATTGTGTTTTATTTTAATAATAGTGTTAAATAATTGTAACTTTTATGAACTTTAATCAGATGACTGCTTTGTTCATAGGTTATCTAATATAGTGAATACTACTTGAAAGGCATATTCGCCCAAGCAATAAATGAAGAACTATGACTGGAACTAGTTCTAATTCTCTTAATGCCTACATTCACTGATTATCTTGTCACATAGAATTCAATGTCCATAGAGAATAGGATGTAAAGAAATCTCATAGAATCTTCTGATTTATCTTCATATGTACACTTGGATTTAGTACTTTGTTATCTACTTGATTAGGTTTTACTTAATCATAGTTCTGCTAGCATTGCATTATAATCATTTTGCTTTTCATTTCTTTTTCAGAACAAATGATAATCAGTTGTACAGAATATAATCCTTCTCAGTAATACAACGAAAATGTTTACATAATTCAAAAGTCAATAGGAAACCTTAACATGTTACTTCCAGATGATATGAGTAAAATCTCTTTAGAAAAAATTGTTACAATATCATTTCATTCAGCCTGGAATGCCCCAAAACAATCTCCACCTAACTAATACACGTATGATCATATTTCATTGATGCCAGTGCTTTAAGACACCAACCACTGTAGTATTTTGAGCTGGTTTATTCCGAATATACACTCATAATTTCTGTAAGACAATATAGGCAATATACGTATATATATATATAATTCAGAATTTAACTCGTAAATATTGTTCTTCATTCATTCATATACTGATTGTTCACAAGGCTGTGTTTAAGCTTTTGCTAGGTTACATTTTCTAAGTGAGCTGGATGAAACAACGTGAATTATTTCTAGGATAAGTCAGCAGCTATTTTAAAAACTCAGGTGGTAGAGATACTGAGGTCATATGAAATATTATCAGTCAGTTACCACATGTTTTTGGATTTATTATTTAACTTGAAATTCTTTCAACTTTTAAGAAATCACATCTCCTCATTTCTAAGCTTTAAAGCCTTAGTGTTTGTAAAACCTTCAGCAGTTTCAGTAGTGAAAAAAAAGAGACTCTAAGTGTGGTGGCATACACATAGAGAAATGATTGTTATCTATGAAAGTGAATCTTATATTATCATAATAAAGTTAGGCATACAAGTAACATCATTTAACTGTGCCGAACACTTCATTAACAGAAATATATTTGGTTGTTACCTAAAAATATTGAGTTTAACTCGATAGGATAAAACTGATTGTGAGCAAAATCGAACAAAACAGAATGAGTAATTTGATGAAACAAATGCTCATAAATATCTATCCCAAAAAAGTCCTACTCATACTTATCAGATAATGTTTTGTAGCTGAAAGTTCTATTAAAACTGAAGCTTCAAATACTCCGGTATGGCAGTAATTTTAGGTCGTCTTTGTAATGTACATACAGTATTATTATTTCACCTCAATAAAAAATCAGCAGGTAACTTCATAGTATATATATACAACTTTATCAGAATTTGTATTTTATGACGTATTCATAAAACAAGCTTATGTGCAACAACTGAAGAGTGATTTCATCATAACAAACAAATATTTGTTGATTTTCAAGACTTGGTTTTGTAAAAATTAAATTTGTTTTTACGAGTTTGCCCGCGTATTGGTAGAAGTTAGAATTCATCAGGTTGCCAGTGAATCGGAACCCAGTGGCTGAATGGTATGCGAGCTTGCCCTGTAACCAGTAGGTTGTAGATTCGAAACCCAGTGGGTGTGTACTGCTGATGAGTCCCAAACTAGGATGAAACAGCAGCTGTCCAGTACTCCTTTGTTTTCAATGGTTCTCTGACTGATATCAATCTGTTTAATCGACAGAATTACCTTAATTATCTGTTGTACTCTACCTCTCGAGGTCCTCATGACCTATGTCGACAAATAATGAATGTAATTAAAATTATTGTGTTTATTTAATTTCTTGGAGAATCGGACTTTTAAACTTCTAGTTTATGTTACACAACAAAGAGGTTGTCAGCTTTCAACATCAACAGATGTCCCATAAGCTTATTTTCGTGAACCATGCTTTACGAAAAATAACAGAACTGATTGATTTTCTAGATTGTTCTTCCCCTTTCACACTTTGTTTAAAGGGCGTTAACAATCAGTGGTGTGTCCTTACCTCTTTGTACGGCTTCGTTTAGTAATATAATTTCGGAGCAAATTTATACATATACATATATATACTTGCAACCTGAACTGAAACTATAAGTGACTCTAATTTGTATCCTCAAAGAATCCGCCTAGTCGCCTTAATTTTTGTTTTAAGACGGTACCTTAACTAATAGTAGCTTGAAAATCCTGAAGATAATCGTATGTTATTTAAATAATTATGGAGATTTCTATTAGAACAGTAGAAAAATCAATGAAAAGAAGTATTTCCACTATCTTTGAAAGTGAAAAAAGGAACAAATACAACTTTCTTTGCCTCGGAATTCCGATTCACAGCCAATCAATACACATTACATGCGAGAAACCTCTAAGTGCAGTTAAATTAAGTACACTGACGACGTCCGAACCAAAATCTTGACATCCAGAGGTAGAAATACAATTATATATGTGTGTAGCTTTGTCGAATTAGTTAAAAAGTATCCACATTTAACTCATAACTAAGAGCTGTCTTCATCAATCTTTGTATCCGGTGGTAATCCGATTTCTTTCAAAGCACCTTCCTTAGTGACACGATTCTCATGAACTTTCTTCAGAGGGAAATCTGGTTCTTTTAGTATATCTGATGGACATAGTTCAGGTATTGTCTTATCCTGTTGTTCAGGATTTCGCCAAGGTGCAAATTCTGGCCGATTTTGAGCTTTCCATGCAGGATATCGGAGAGCTGCTCGATGTAACGTCTTCACAAGACGTGGACACACCTTTGTAGTTGCCAAGTTTATTGCCCATGACGGAATGTCACCTACAAGATGGAATAGGTAAAAATGATCAGTGAGTTGTTATATATTACCACATTTATTACTCTGTATTTCATCTGATCTAAAACCCTGGTAAACCGTTGAAAACCTTGTTAACTAAAGAACAAAGGTGTTTTACAACTTTTGCGATAGTTACGACGAGTAAATTAATTGATACTTCCTCATTGTGAAACAGTAAAAACTTAAAGGAACGGCTAATCGTTTGGTGATGGATGAGTGACCCTCTTAAATTTTCATGCATGGAAAACGACCAAAAGGTTTGTACATATTCCAAGTTTACAATCTCAGTCTGTAGTTTTCATCGCAAAATAGTGAGATCAACTGCAAACATTAATTTAGTGAACGGCTAGGCTTCTGTTATGTACTCGTCGCCAGATTATTGTTATGTACTGGTCGAGAATTTAATAGTCCTGACGCAAGAAAGACGGAAATCAGAAGACCACTAGGTTTGCGATGATACTTCTATTTTCCAAACACAAGGAGAATCAAATATATCACACAATAGTGTGAGAGCAAAATATATATGAATGTCCAAACAAGTGTGTGAACAAATCAATAGACAGTCTTAACATAATTGGCTAATTATAATGGAATATCGATCCATATATACATAGCAAAATATAGCAGACATGTCAACAAACACACATATTATATATGATATAACGGGAATATACATTGTTAAAGGAGACATGTTCATCAAAGTGAAATGGTCACAGACTAAGAGAGCAACAGAAAGAGAGACCACCATATATATATATATATATATATATATATATATATATATATATGGATACATATCAGCTTCAATCACAATTTTTTTAGTCTGCATACGTGCAAAATACACACTAAATAAGTAGGTAAGTAAATACTGAAACACAAGGCAGAACGTTCTAAGAAGACAACTAATATAAAATAGAGAGATTTTACCTTACTTCTTCTTTGGAACTTTTTGTTTAGTATTGACTTATGAGTCAAAACCGTTAATAGTGATTCCTTTGCCATGGTTGTATCGCGTTTATTATCTTATAGTTTTAGCTGGATCATGATGTGAAATAACATTTATAGCGCATAATATAATGATGAATTCTACAGTTATCATCAAGAAAGAAACCTTATTCAAAAAAGATATACCTACTGTTTCAAACAAAGGGATAAAAATAATGTCACTGAGGTATCGAAATCACACGTCTTGGCTGATATGTTTCCCGGTTTAGTGTTCCGGATATTCCAATCAAACTCTCGCCTTTTCGAATCTAGATAACTTAGTACCACTGTCTTTGTCTAAGTAAAACACATAGGACCGAAATTTAGGTAGACAAATTTTCATCTATTTGTGGCATTCAGCGACATCTCAAATAGTAATGTTCCAAAACTGCCTTTAAAATAATGCTTTCTAGCGCCTATCAAATGTGTAACACTTCTGCATGCAGCCTAGTAAAACAAACCAACTATTGCCGTATCTAAATTGGTGGCTAAAAGTAATCAAAACAGGTATCTTTAACAATCTAATATTGAGGTTACCTGTTTTATCAGTAACTCTTTTTGGAAAAGACATCCTTAAAGTGGAATAACCTGGTTATATTTTAGTCAGATAGTTGAATTCGGTATCTATATTACCTAAAAGGGTTTGAATAAAAGGCCTAAGCGACTTTGCCGAGATTGCAGCGTTATGTCTTCAGTGAACCTAGTTTTGTCGTTGTTGGTCTAAGAATGCAGTTAAATGACATGAGTACTGATATTAAAACAAGTAATTACCGCTTGAAGCACTTAGCATTGTTAACTTTTTAACAAATAGGTCTCGTCAACAAAAGGCATTTTATAATAAATTGCTTCTTTGCACGATGGTCAGATTCAAGAAACTATGGTATTTTGATTGGGCATTAACTAGTGTCATTTGTCTAGTCCTTTTTTTACTCCAGACTGAATTCCGTCGGTCAAGTTTTCAATGTGGCCACCATGCTAGGTGGCTCACCATCACGGTGAGCTAAGAACTGTTGTTATAAGATTGTATATTAACAAATAAAAATATTCGATAATTAAACAACTTTCTCAAACGGTGACAAAAATACATCTTAAATGAATAGCGTAACCCAGACCAGAGATGTTTTGGCAAAATACAAATATATGAGCAGAATATAACATTGACTCTGGAAATGCTTTGTATCAACTTCAATTATTCCACATACATGACTGTAATTTAGATGTCCAGCCAAATAATAAATCTTAAAAAGCATAAAATATCTCTGGAAATAAACAACATTGGTGTTTTGGAGGTTTTCTTTTCTTCGCAGGACGTTTTTCACTCCATTGTACTTGAATATGTCATGCATAGTTACTTGCTACACAATGACGTCAATAGTTTATATCTAATTATAAATTACGGCTAGTCTGATCTTTGAAACTTCTCCAGTATTAAACTTATTGAGAAGAGATTACATTCTAACAAAATCAGTGGAAAATTTTGAACACATATAATTCTGAATTGCACTGCCATCACTCAGTCAATATCGCACAAATTAAAAATTACAAACATTTCATTACTTTGCATTCCAAAATATCAAACTTTTACTTCCCTCATAGGATTCCCAAAAAGATGTACAAGACTGTTTAATGTCTCTGAAAATAATGAACACTTTTAATCTACGACTTGGTTAGACCAGAGTGATGCCGAAGCTATTCGTGGGTTCTTCAAGCTTTGTCTTTAGGATAGAGTTTTTAATGTAAGTCTGATTGTCCTGTTTGGCCTTGCTTCAAGTAAAAGTTAGACACTTCTGTAAAATTCATGATCTTGCTAATTAAAATGGCGCTTCTTGCGCAATCATCAAACATATCAAAACTATAAGATTATGACATTTCTGGAACTGAAACCGTTCATCATAGCTTGACAGTACTATACTTACATAAGGGAAATAAAGTATCATAAGACTCTGATTCGCTACTGAATTTTCACTGATAAACGAGTCCCAATGTCAAAGTCTTAATATCGTTGCTAAAAGCCATATAGACTTTAAAATTTTCGCTCGGTAGCTGCAAAATACCTTCAATTTCCTTTAAGTTTGATAGTCAATGAAATTAGAACAAGTAGCAGTTAAAAATTAGTTGAGACATTTTATAAATCTCCGTCACGCGGGAATATGAAGAAGCTACTTGACACGTGCGAGGAGTTCTGCTTGTCAGGTCGGAAGGAAATATTTCCTGTATCAATAAGATAGGTAAACTGAATGAGGTTTAATAATTTTAAGTAAACATGCTGGCTGTTTCAGATACGGCATGTAAAAAATATAGTGTGGTGGGTTGAAATCAATGAAGATTATGGAACATATAACAAATTTTAAGTTCGTGAACATAAATTAACAGTTTAGAAAAGATTCTCACCTCTAGGATCATTTGTGTTAGATATATCAACTGACATGAAGAAGGACTGAGAGCAGTAATCACATAGCCAGTAATAAATGTTAAAGCACGTACATAATCCGCCCTTGGAGGTACTTGCTAAGCAGTAAAATAAGAATGCCTAGTTCTCACCTTATGAAAAACAGACCTATTGTAGATTATATACTCATGTTCATATGGTTTCCAGGCTCGCAGCAGAACGAAATCACGATTAGCAAACGCGAATGGAGCTCTAACTACAGAAATCAAGGGAAAGTAAAACTTACATCCAAAATGCTCGATGTAGCAATTCCATGTTATGCGACAAATTGGCGTGGACTCGCGCATTGTATTATCCCACGATGAGCGGTAAGAATTGTCATGCATCATATCATATATCACGTCGGAAGGAACATCAGGGAAAATGGCAACCACTTTGATCATTTTCATGCTGGTATGTGGGGTTGACCGGGTGTAAACTTCCACGTTTTTCTTCCTGTACCGCCGTTTCCAGTTCGTCTCATCCGTTGCCATGCCCTTGAATCGTTGAAAGTCGTCATCCTTAGGTGGTCCAACCTCACCAAGTCTGAAGATCTCCATGTAAAAATCCGATGCTTAAATGCTGAAAGCTTCCTCTTTCTTGTATTCGAATATGAGTCCAAATACTCTAGAAATGATGGCAAGATAAATATTTAATGAGAAGAAAAATGATGAATTTTAGAAACACCGAAAAATCCCCAAAGAGTCAAAGAATAAAATTATCAAACAGGTGCATGCACTTACAGGTCCTTAATCATTACCTCTAGCACTAATACTTCTACTCAAAAAGCGTATCCAAACGTAGACTGAACTAAAACCGAAATTTCACTGCTTAAGCATTCACTCAGAGTAGATACATTAAGCAAATGAATTACTGTGAATAAAAATATAGGCAATGTTGCAGACTCTTAGATGCAGAAGAGTAGCGTGATTTCATTTGGCATTTATGTAATCAGATTTAAAACCAGAAAAGCGATTAAAACACCACGGTTACGGTTACTGATAAGAGAAACAGTAAGTGAACAATCCTGTATGCATGACGTATTATGTTGCTTGTAGCCTTATCTAAATAGATAAGCATGTTTAGCAGCAATATGTCACCACAGACCTGTGTGTCAGACATTCAGCAGCAGTAAGACTAAAATAATAAGATGGATTACAGTGATGTTTGATTCGCGTTAGCCTTATCTAGTGGCCTTTTGTCACTTGCTAAAGATCAAACAGAGCTTGTTGCTTTACAGTCTGGTATCTGGTAATGCAAACCAAAATGAATCAGTTGACCAAAACACCAGAACGCTAATTGCAAATTATTTCCTTACACAAACTGATATGTGACTTGAAGTAGCCTGGTTGGAGAAAAATGGGCGAAGAATGGATAAATAGTCGTTAAAATTGGTAAGGTTTTGGCCCAATGCAATAAATGACAAATACTAGTTAAGTAAAGCCGAAATGAGAAAATAATGCTTGAATAATCATTAAAATAGGAAAGTGGTGGTTTTGTAATTGAAAATATTGAATGAATTTAGACAACATATTGGTTAAATCATAGTAAAATATTAACCCAATAGGGGTAAAATGTTGGTGAGATATTAGACAAAATTGTTAAATATTCGTTAAGTTCTGGTTAAAATAGAAAACATTATGTCGTATAACCTAAATTCACTAATGAACCCACTTCAGTATTTTAAATTTTGATCCTGGTGGATGCAAAATTCATCATGTCTAATGTAAGAATGACTGAATTAAGTTTTCAGTCTAAATGCTGTACAACAAACAGTCGTATGAATTATTTCAGTATGCTCAGTCATCTGGGGGCCGATATTCAAAATTTTGCCACAGAATACCGTCGCATTCTATGAGGATATTTTAGAGTAAGAATATAAGTAATAACCACAAGTGAGACTTGGAGCATATTATGTGTTATACAATATGGAGATACGAAAATAGGCAAAATATAAATAGTTACCCAAAACGAAGTATTTTGCCTCGCGATGCACAGTTTAAGTCACAGTGATGACTGGTTACTCAGGCAACATGAAAGACTGCTTACTCGGTGTAGAACCTACTTCCGCAGTTGCGGAATAATTTTGAAAACGAAGATATATATATAAGGCCTGAAAAATGTATCAACTGTTCACTGTCCTCCCATTTTTGTAAGCAACAATTTTCCAGCATTTGTATTTATGAGGAACATTTTAAAAACTGAAAACAGTAACATAAACAAAATTTACATGTAATAACAAGTTTAAATTACCACAAACTCCCAATGTTTCAAGGTCATCAAAATAAGACAGACAAAACTAAAACCACAAAAACAAGGTTTCGGAACACTCCATGAAATTTCTTTTTTTCACAAGCCAGTTATCAAATATACAAAGTGAGCTGCTAATATGCGGCACGAATGACGTAGCATAGTTTCACATAGTTATTTCGGAGCTGCAACTGAAGGTGAACTTCTCTACCTGGCGCTCCGGCATAGCTGCTAAATTTAAATGGATGGCATAAACTTTTGGAATGGTTTTCTCGCTTTGATAGCTACACTCACCAACAGTAGGTGGGCATCGGAAGGAAGTGAAAGGTTTTATCAAGAAGACTATGAGTCTGTAGCTGTGATAACAATTAACCGAAAAGTAGAAAACACACTTGTAGAAAAGGCCGCCATAATTCCTCAAAAATGCCGAAAGATATAGGCCTGGTATTAGTGAAGATATTCAAAAAAGAGTAAGATAGCACTATATTTCTCGCGTTGGAAATTTCGTACAATACGATGATCCTGAAGTAATGCTTTTTATAGTGGGTATATTTTGCATTGACCTGACATTCTGTGAAGCATGTCACCCAGCACTGTTTTCCTACATTACACCACTGGTTCAAAACACACAGACTTTTTTCTTGCCAATATTTCAGCGTTTTTAGCCGCCCTTTCATCACGCACTGACATTATTCAGCGAAGTCCGTCTCACTTGAGCGACCGGTGAAAGTTCTAAGCACTACCCTCATAACTCCACGATATACTAGTTTTTTCCAAATACACAAAATATTCCTTGAGAACTAGACCTTATTATCGCCAAATAGTAAAAATCAGGGTTCAGCGGATAGATGCTCTACAAGGGGAATCTCTTGAGGGCTTGGAAATATCTCAGAATAACAGGAAGCAAGCTCAAAGCGATCAAAATGTTTATACGATCTTGTCCAATAATACTGAATTTAACACCACTCACGCCGTATTTGACACTTCATCGTTAAAATTAAATTTTCAGAGACAAACGTAGAAGTCAAGATAGTTTTTGTGAATCATTCTGATTTGCGCTTCAATGGGTAGCCATGTGACATGCCGTGTGCAATAAGTCGTCCAACTCCATGTGACGTGAATGACTGTTTGTATAGCCATTATTTCAGGTAATTATCAAGGGAAGCTTTAACGTACTAGTTTTTTGGAAAACTTGATGTCATTCGATGTTTCTGAATGCCCAGTGAAGTGCCTAAAATGGTTTGCTATGATGTGTAGTACAGAGGATTTTTGCACATAACTTAATTTAGCAAAATGTTACTTTTTATAGTCACTTCAGTTTAGAAGAAAAAAAGAGACATAGAAATATCCACAGAAAAGTAGTTGGTTGAAGCTGACTTATGAATTTATTAAAGACACACCATATTAACAATTGTTTTGGGTTTAAAAATAGGACATCTAAGATAAAAAGGAAACACAACTTGTTACTATGAATCGAAAATAGCTATAAACTACCTTAGCAGAAATACTTGCCGGCTCATAAATCGCATTACTAATGCAACCATTTACAATAAAACATGTAAAGCATCTCATTCCAAACCATTTGACTGGGAACTCTAGCTGTTTTACAGTGAGCTTCTGCTAATCATTCCTTTTATGTGAGACTTACCCACCGTAAATCTAGTTGCCTCAAATCGACGCTGCCACCCTCTTGGCCTCACGAGTCAATAAGTTTTTCAGGGACCAGAATGAGTTGCTTACTCACCAAAAAAATCATCCTAACTGTGCCTTCGCCCCCGCTAGCCAAAGTTTGTAACTTTCGCAAGGTTAGAATCGCAACGCCAAGTAACCCAAACTCATTGTGAGCGACACATTAAACTCCTAAAAAGGATCTATTGTTCAAGAGAATTCACCACACAAGAGTTAGGTACTTCATACCATGGCTGATCAAACGAATGTGGAGACAGAAAGTGAGCTACTTTTTTCTTACATCCATAAGTTTAAGTTCGCAACTGTGGAGGGGAAAACTCCCTCTGTTTCCAATAATAGATGCGGCTATTCATCCAGGTTGGGTCTGATAGATCTACATAATGTCAACTCACTTATTAGCGATCAACTAACGACCGATACTCTCAGTTAAGCTGGACTGCGTCAAGCAAGTGACCATAGTATTCCATTATGATTTCAGCGATAACCTTAGTGAAAACATACAACTCTGTTACATACGAGATAAACTGGAAGAACCCAAGTACTTACAAGTTTCCTTAAGCCCAAATACCATCATAATGACGGAAGCATACGTAAAATCTCCCGCTATTGACACTGAAGTTGCTTTAATTATGGTTGCCGATTTCAGATGGAACAACAAGGATGCTGAGTTGCCATGTGTATTGACCAGTTTTTAGATGCCTTCAAGTAACAGATTCGCTGCCCGCTGAATTAGATATAACTCTGTCTCAAAGTCAGCTGCACGAAGCACCTACTGGGTGGCATCTACGTGGGACTGTATTGCAGCGGAGGACACTATAAGCAGTTGCTCACACTATTATGACTGTAGAGAATCTTGCGAAAGCTTTAAAAAGTCATTTTCGAATTCGAGTCCCTCTGATTTTTCTAAACCGAAATCCAGTATATATCATCAGATTACCCGCATGGGACATGATCCTGAGTGGTGACACTTGATGCATCAAGAGCGAAATGTAATCGGAAATAAATTATACGCTAACCTGTTGGAGAATTTCGGAATAAATATATCATAATAAGCTTCCCTA